TCCATGACATTTGTATACAGGGCTTATTGTTCTGGAATGTTTCAATGACCCCCCGAGTGCCTTTAATTTATTATAAATGAATATTCATAAATGTGTTTAGAAAAATGGCCAATATATATGTATGATTTATGTTCATACTCTATATTTAAACTTCAATTTGTATACATGTACAGTGAACATTGAGCTCACTAAATGATACCCCCCAGCCTCCGTTATGAATATATGTCTATGTTTTGCTATGGGAAACCCCGAATATGTGTCGGATCAAAAACAAAATAGGAGGTAACAATGGCAATACTAGGATGTAATAAAGATTCTATGAAAGTCTTATCAAATGTCATTCAGTGGTATGAGAGGAGTTGCGGATAAGAGATGGGTACCCCAAAGCGTAACAGACGGACGGACGTATAGCTAGACGAATGGACGGACAGACAAACATCCCGATAATGATATACACTTTTCAAGCAGGGGGTATAACTAGGGTAATATTTTATGATATTGGTGGAATGTGCAAAGGGAAGAGGAAGTTCTCTCTTAATCTACCTATGACGTGATGTCTACAACGACTTACGGAGTTAAATGTTGAACTTATACATATGTTCTATGTAATCAGAATTTTACAGATAATATCTACATGTAATGGTTGTGAAAACCGATGTGTATATGAACATCCGATGTAAGTGAATGACACTTTGTGGCTATTGGAAACTTAAAAGTCATTTCCTGTGTTACAAAATATCCTCCACCCATAAGCCTCTATTACAAAATCTATACTGAAACCCACTTTCAGTATAGATTTTGCAATAGAGGGTAATATTATCCACGGATATCAATTTTGGCCTACCCGTTCATATCTCTGTCTGTTTGTCTGTCTGTTGTTAATATTGTCTGTGAGTTTTGCATTGAAATTTTATATCAAAATACAATTGATTTTGAATTTAAAAGGGAGGATTAAAATCGGTAATTCATACTTGCAAAATCATTATTTTTCCAACAATTTTTTTTTATATAATTGTCTCAATGTCTCAAAAAATAATCCCATAATGATTATGAGGTCGAAATATCAAAGGTAAAAAAAATTTAGTTATTGCTAAACTGATTTTGATACTGAAAGATCAAGGTAAACATGGTCAAAGCAAAAAACAATGTACATATGCAATATGGTTTTCAAATTATACATGTACCTTCATTGCTTTTAGCTTTTTCAATGAAATCTTTGTCAAAACTCCTGGAATCTAAAAGAGAGCCTCAGTTGAGTTTACGAACGTAAGGACGTAGTAAATAGTTATTTCTTCTAGAGAAAATCATACTGTGAATTTTTTTTTCTCTTTGAATGTTCGCACTGAAATTTTATACCTTAAGTCGATATAAGAAAAATTCTTTTATTACTGATTTTTTTTAAAGAAATTGAGGTCAAATATGTCAAATAACAAGACTGAGATTTTAAAAAAATTAGTTAATTGTGCGTCATTTACAAGTAGTTTTTTAGGTTCTCTCTAATTTTGCAAGGAAACATAAGATCACAAATTTCCTGAATTAAAGATAAACACACCAGTTGACTTTTAAATCAAAAGCTGAAAGAAAAACTTAAACTCAAATTCGATCTTTTTTCTTTCTCTTTTAGCATGTTTGAAGTCTTTTCATCCTTGTTATTTCTCTTTGGCCGTGACACGAATTCCCCGAATGAGCTTTTCGACCATGTGTCTTGGTCTGGTAGAAATACTGTAAAATCACTTATTTTCGCTCGGGTTTAATTTTCGTGGTCTTCAAGGTATGAAGAGATCCACGAATTCATATCCACCATAAAATGACATTGTTCACATATATTACTACTGAACAATAGTTCACAAAAACTTGACCCCTCTAAAATATGTGATTTTACAGTAAGCACAGAATTGCGATAACAATTTTTAACCCCACTGACCTCCATCAACAAGTAGCTTACATGAAATAAAATCTGATAATTATAATTTAATGCACAAATGACAACGGAAATTGCATGCTGTATATTAATCGTGTAAAACTATACTCTGTACTGTGCATGTCCGTGATTGTATATACATGTAATAAAGTTAGTGACACGTACATCATATGTATATTACTTGAACTAAATACTAATTCTTAGTTTTCATATAAGCACTGATCTCCCAAAATGATACTCATCCCCTACTGTCAGATGAGAATAATGGCAAAATGCATATCTTGGTGAAATATGTTGATGAAATTCTAAGTCCCAGGAGATATAGATACACGTAACACATGCTTGATCAGAAATGCTTTAAAAAAACTCATTAATTTAACTTTAACTGGATGCATGTCCACTCATTACTCCAAGGGTCAAATGGATTTACATTATCTTCTGTGTAATGTAAAAACTGTTCTAACAATAATTTTATTGATGTTGTTTCTTTATTTAGTTTTAAATTTAATGCTGTAGTTTACATGTTTGTACAGATGTTCTCGATTCTATGTCTCAAACCTGAAACATAAACATAAGATGACCAAATCAATAGAAATGGAAATAACAACTGTAAAATGTAACATAAACATAAGATGACCAATTCAATAGAATTAGAAATAACAACTATATATAAAATGTAACAAAATAAATTTTAAAAATTAAGTTGAAAATACCAGGTACACAGCTTCATATGCTAAAAAATAAGTGTAAAAATTTTTAAACAAATCCTTGGAATTCAAAACGGCACTGAGTTGAGATTCTGTGAATATTTTATTAAGAATTAGGGTGCAGACAAGTTAAGACGGACACTTTGAAGTGTATCAGAATGTGAAAATCCAAATGAGAAATTTACCCAAGTATTTAAACGATCTTTTTCTTTTTTCATTTGTATTTTTGAAGTTTTTTTCCCATTCTTATTCTTTCCCTTGGGTTACACCGGGACACGAATTCCCTGATTTAATTAGCTTTCCGACCATTTGTCTTTGTCTGGGAGAAATTAGTGCATCTATTCTCTATTGAGAAGTCGATGGCTCGTTTCAATACTCCCCCTCGAAACAAGCCATCAACTTCTCAATAGAGAATATTAATGCATCATAAGAACTGAATTGCGATCATACCAATTTTAACCCCCCACTGATCTCCATGACCATATAGCTTACATGAAATACAATCAGATAATTATAATTAAGTACACAAATGACAACGAAAATCCCATGTTGTATATCAATAGTGTAACACTATATTCTACACTATGCCTTGAGTATGTGTCAGTGAGTGTACGTACATAATAAAGTTAGTCACACGTGCATGCTGAATGATATATTATATGTTTATTACGGAGCTAAAATTATAACCTTTTTTTTAGTTTTCCCTTATATATTATATTTATAATACATGTAGAACTATGTTCCTCTGCTGCAGGAGAAAAAAGAGAACAAAAACTTGTCTTTTTTATTTTTTAAATCAAATTTAATCATGTTTCAAAAAAAAGAGAGAGAAATCTAAAAATAACACTAGCTACATATTTTATCTTAATCAATTTTTAACACAAATCATGGATTCAAAAGGCAGCTGAAGAAATATTGCACATATTGTTACTGTTAGAGTTTAATGGCTAGCCATGCATTTTATGCAGATGTACCGTATATTCCCCTTCTGGCTAATTAACACGCCTGTGATCTGGAAGCACACTGCCAATCTCAAACAAAGGCGAACACGACTAACTGGTTCCCTGTCTTTCATTATCCCGACAGAATCTAAAGATGGGTTAACCTCCAATCATCTTGTTACGTCAAATTTCTAAAATTAAACCAAAAGCGAAGCACTGAAGAAATTTCCATATTTCCATCAAACATACAAGAAATTACATTGATTTATGAGACTTAATTTTTGACTTAATTATAGTACATATATGCATAAATTTACTTTGATTCAAAAGTATTTCAGGGAATTCAAACTATAGATTTGGAATTTTTTTAAGAGGTCAGGGTCACGTTGAAGAGTGACTGGTGCTATTAATATTGTTGGAGAGGCAAAGGCAGAGAACCAGTCCATGGAAAAATACTGCAACTCAGCTACAATCTGATTGGTTCAGCATTCTGATCATGGAATGAATATCCGTGAAATCAATTGCATTAGCAAATTTTTAAAGTACCATCGATAAACTTTTAATGCCTCCTTGTGCATTTTGCATCTAAGTGAAAATCTGACATCTCACGACGAGAAAGTGACCAAATTTTAATCTTTACTTTTTATTAGCAACAGTGGCTTGAAGTTTTTATATTATAACTCTATGGTTTCTGATTCAAACAATTTATACCGAAAGAAAATTTTAAATTTAAATTTAAACTTTTTCATTTGAAACCAATAAAAGTAGGAGTAGGAGTAAAAATAAAAAGTTAATGTTGAGAGAAATGGATTGATTTTTGTTAAAATGAAATGAAGATCAAAGCGTTCTATCATATGAAATCTTCTTTTAATATTTTGCAGTGATCTAATGAGAGAAAGAGATGTAATTAAATTGGTGCATTATATAAGCAAAAAAGTCAATTAGTTTTGGTTAATTTCCCGAATAAAGAGTTTCAGTAAGGAACACACAATAATTCTAATGTCAACATAGAAAAGCATCGTGTGCAATTTATAGCAACACTACACTTTATACATTCTTTTATTTCATTGATTTTTTTAGTAACTTAATTTATTATGCATATGTTAATATGACAAACTTTTATCGAAATAATTTTAAAATTATAACAATTTGAGTCTTGCATATAAAAGTAAATTTTACACTTTTAACCACAGATATATTATTTATTTATTCTTTTTTAAATTTCATTTAAAGTTTCACGATGATGGGATTCAAAGTGACATCAATTTATATTAATTAATAAGGATGGTTTCAGAAAGGTAAAATAAACATTTAATTTCAAAATCATTGTAGATTTCTTTCTTACAGAGTTCTTCCCCCTTTAAAAATTAAAACGAATGGGGACTTTTAAATAGGATTTATACATTACGTCGTCCGATTAGCATTACAGGGATTAGCCTCCACATTTCTTAGTGCATTATTTATATTTTAATGATCACGAATAAAATTGGATGATTAGAAAACTCGATATTTGTGAAGATGACGACTTCTGAAAGTGGTAAACAGTTTTCTTTTTAAATTTTAATTTATAACAAAAATTTCTATATGTGAAAAAGAATTTATAAAAAAAAAAATTACACATGTATCATTATTTCATGGTGAATCGTTAATATGCATTATGATACTGGTATTTATTTCTTTAAATTTGGTTTGAGAATGAAAATTAAATCAACCGAATTTTTATTGATAATAACTTTTCCATTGAAGATCAGCTTTTTGGAAAAAAAACTTTGAAAATTAAATATGAAAACGTGCTGTTAAGTAAAACTGTGTTTATTATAACCGATTATTGAATTCATTGACTTCTGTGTATACCAGATTTTTAATACAGACAAAGTAGCTTAGGCGCTATAAATCTGTGTAACCTTTAAAAGACCATTTTTTATTACTGGTCATTTAAACTCGAACCACGTCTAATGTACATGTTATTTGGTGTGTTTAAACAGACACTTTCTCATTCTTACGTTCTCTAATTATATATTTTTTTCCGCCATCTCTTTTGTTTATTTGCACTTCCATATTCCATTTTCGATTTATTTAGAAGACTGAGAAAAAATTGAAGAATACAGTGTGAAACTTACAATTAAAAATATAAAATTTACTAAAATTGGGATGAATAATATAAAGTACTGCATACATTTTTGATTTTCGTAGATGTTATTCTTGAAAAACAACAGAGTTTAAATAACTCAAATTCTGACTTTTCATTAATTTCATTTTTTTTAGAAATACATGTATTCTTTATTAGATAGAAACGAAGGATTTTGTTTCAAGATTATCTTTTATGAACATAAAATTCTAAAAAGCAATTTTTGTCACACAAAACAATTCGACCTTGAAACTTATATTAAAATTTAATTTTTTTTTCAGCTTTGAAAACTTATCAAAGCTAATTTTGAAAATTAATATTTTGAATACTCAGTATTTCAAATATACATGTATATTTCATTTCAATATTTTTATTAAATAGAAAATTAACAGCGTGTTAAATAAAACCTACCAGGGAATTTCAAACCTTAATGGGCCTTGCTGGGTCAAATCTGTGTATAGCAATGAACGTTAAATATCAATTGAAATCGTTTTTGTATTGCTTCTCTTTTTTAGGCTTAGACAAGTATATCTTGGTTGGAATTATTGTTGGATCAACAATGTTGGTGATTTGCACATGGTTGATTACCGATTTTTGTTTATATCATCGAGAAAAGGCAAAGCATAAAGATAAGAAAAACCATAAATTCTACACAAGGAAACCAAAACGTTTACAAATGCACCATGTTTCATTGCAAATGCCATTGCCCCTTACCAATCCTTCCGCTCCTGAGCAATCAACGGACATAGATTACTCAACAACGAAGTTACAAAGAACAACTTCGCCTGTTCAAGCGCAAGTATCTCATTCGACAGTGAAATCACCAAGAACAACGTCACCCGTTCAAGCGCCATTATCACCAACAGGCAATACCCTCTCCCCGAAACAAAATAAGTTGAAGAAAAAACTTAAAAGAGATAAGGCCTTGGGAAGTTCTCCGAGAAACATGCATAAAAAATCTTCCAATGAAAAGGGTTCATTCAGACTTTCTGAGGATGAAGAGTCAGATTTTTACTCGGTGTTAAACGATGATAAAGCTACAGAAGACTGAGGAGTTCCAATCGAAATAAAATCAAATCAGCAAAAAATCTTTATTCTATAGTTCCTGGTTTGCTTTTCTGTTATTTTCTTTGATCTTAAGATGCTTATTTTGCGTTGTGCTACGTGCTTTTCTTTCAAAAGAATATGACGTGGACATTGTGCTATTGTTGCAAAAGGATACCTGTTATTTTTGCAAAAGATGTGATATAAAGTTCCAAAACATACTCATTCTGACCCACACACACCCTTACAAACATCCTCCCCCACCCTTACATATACCCTCATTCACGCTCATACATAGTGAGAGGGGGAGGGAGAGAAATTAAAAAAAAAACACGAAAATAACGAAAAGAGTTCAATAAAAAAAAATATACACACCTAAATCTGTGAACATTGCATAGAATGAGGACCATTGGAACAATTTTCAGAGATGAAGTTTGGTACATAGACTGAGTAGAAAAGATAAAGAGAGAAAAAATGTTCTTATTCACGCATAGACTATTGTGCAAAACTGTTTTAAAAACAATTTAAAAGCTATTTTTAGAAAAACATGTGAAAGTAACAATTTTAAAACTTTTAAGATTATCATGTGTTTAATAACTTAATGAATAATAGTTTACAACATTTTGTTGGTCGTCGTTTGTTTGTTGCCTTTAACACTCACAGTAACTTTAATAACATAATATTTTTCAATATTATATGCACAAGAAAAAAGAGAACAAAGACTTTTGTAAGTTATACCAGGTATGTAGGACAGTCAGTTCTTCTGTTCATTAAAGGTATATTTTATAAAATGTTTTTCAGTTGTGTCATAATGATAATCGACTTATATTTTTGAAAACAAGAAGTGTTGTATATTTTTAGTCTACATACTTGTTTTCTATCCCATGATTTGACAGAATTAATGTATTTGCTGTCCATGTTTGTATGCACTTCCTGTTTGGGTCACGATGACAAATAACTATAGTGATGAGACAACTTATAAGATGCCAGCTAATTTAGGTAAGCATGGTCAACTGTTTTGTTCACGATGACAAATAATTAAAGTGATAAGATAACGTCTTATATACCAGCTAGTTTAGATAAGCATTATCATTTTTCAAGAATATAATGCTTTTAATACAAGGGTGTTACTTGGGGATTATAAGATTTCATAAGAGGAAACTCTGTATATCATAAATGATACTAGCAGTCATAAATATAATCACTGTCATGCAGAAATATTTTTTACCAACACAAAAAGATCTCTTGGATTCCATATATGAAATAGATAGCAAGACTTCGGCAAGCAGCAAGATATGCAAAAATATAACTTGCATTGTTACTACTTGTATGCTTAGACTCGAATGAATCCTATTAAGTTAAATATATCAAAGAACAAGAAATACTGCTCTGTATAGGAAAAAGTAAATAATGTTTAATGTTTGAAAGTTAGTTAAAGAAGACTGATGAAGAAAACTCAAATTAACTTATATATTCAAATATTCTTGTTTATAATTTGAAATACTTTTTTGCCTTACCTGACTTTTAAAAAAGATGACCGAGGCTTCGAAGATGACTAGAAAGGCCAATACGTTTACCGAGGCGTGAATAAAAAAAAGTCTTAGATATTATCCAGGAATTAATATTAATTTTGTTAAAAGATTTATTGATTTTTTTAACTCGATAAATAATAATTTAAACATTGTGTCGGTCTTTTGACGGTTGCCTCGAACTTAAGTAATCTATGTAATATTTTTCAATGTTATGTGTACATGTAGGTCATTTTAGATATATTTTATTAAATGTCTCAGTCTGGACATGATGGTAATCGATATGCAGTGTTGCATATTTTTAGTCTTTGGTAGTTTTCTATCCTATGATCTGACAAAAACCAACTAATGTACTAAGTATTTGTTGTCTATGTTTGTATACATTTCCTGTTTAGGTCATGATGACAAATAATTATAGTGACTAGACAACTTATAAGATACCAGCTAGTTTCGGTAAGGTGGTCATATGAGTATAATTCTTTAAAACAAGAGTGCAACTTGAGGCTAACTAATCCTTATTTTAAGAGGAAACTCTATAATATATAATGATGCATGTATTTGCAGTCATAAATATAATCAATGTCAGGCAGAAACACATAATTATATCTTTTGGATTCCATATGAAAAATATGTAGTTATAAAAGACTTCGGCAAGTAGAAAATATGCAAAAATATAACTTGCCTTGCTATTACTTGTATACTTAGAGAGTCGAATTAATGATTTTAAATTAATTTTATCAAATAACAAAACTTCATTTAGAGTAAAAAATAAACAATTTTTAATGTTTGAAAGTCACTGTTGATTGATGAAGAAAAGTCTACACATGTAATTGCCTTATATACTTTTATTAAACTTTTCTTGTTTACCTTGCACAAGACTTTATGATTTTTAAAACATTGTAAGACAACCAGAAGTCAATTATATTTATGTGAATAGGTTGTCGCCGATAAATCCCTTATTTTTTGCTAAGGGTTTAATACTCATTGTTATCCTTTATTTTTATTTTTAGAAAAAAAAGGGTTCCCATGTCGAAATGTTGTTAAAGGGATTGGGAATCTTATCATCATCATAAAATTTTCCTGCTAGATGTCAAAGAGTTGAAATAAAATTTCGAAGTTTAATGTACTACCCAGATATAGCACAACTTCGTTGGCCCAACATTGGCGCACAGTTGTTGACTGCGTTGGTCCAACATTGGCGCACAATTGTTGACTGCGTTGGTCCAACATTGGCGCACAGTTGTTGACTGCGTTGGTCCAACGCTGGCAACCTAACATTGGCCGAATGCAAGTTTGCTTATAGGCACGACGTTGGCCCAACATGGACAACGTTGGCACAACGTTTGACGATTTTAAATCTGCATTTGGTTAATGTTGACCCGACAATGGCTTAATGTCCATTGCCAACAGTGATTAAATTGTATCAACATAGGCCGAACAAAGAGTACTTTTTGTGTTGGCCCAACAATGGCCTATTATCTGTTAACTAACCAACATACATGTACCATCGATGACTTAATTAAGGTCAAGTGTCCAGCAGTTACCAACCAACCCTTGCCCTGGAGCTTTAAATCTTGACTTTGAGTGTGAATGCAATCAAAGAACGAAAATTATTTTGTTATCTATATTATGAATAATGACAATATCCAATTTATCAATTAAACACTTACAAGAGGGTTACAATGAAACAGCTACATGTGCCGTATACATGAGAGTGTAACAGTTTAAAAAGAATGCGTCTGAAATTTTATATTTTCAATTGAAACAAATTATAGGAAATGAAGATACAATTAAATAGGAGATGCATGTTTCTGGAAATCAACTACCAACAAAATCCTCTATAACAACATGAACATGCAATATTAGGAATTAAAGGATAAATGTTACGTGTAAGACCAACCCTTAATGTCTATTGAAAGGGTTGGCAAAGTATTGCTATGTTTCAGAGGTTTCAGTGGCCAAGATATAAATAATACAGTATGTTTTCTCCTTGTTTAGCATTTCAGTATTCAAAAATAGATAACCCTCAATCTCTTTGGTATCTTGTAAAAAAAGTATTAAGATCACGTTAACAGACATGTGGTCTAGAGCCACGACGATGGTGCATTTATAATGCATACAAGTTTGCATACTTGATGCTATAGTCCTATCTTCAAATCTCGATCTTATGAATTTTTTTATCATATTCGTTAATATTTGATCCATTTACATTCATACATCCATAAACAAAAATTATCATAATCTGTAGTAAGTGTTCCAGGACCCATTCATTTTTCATTTATTGGCAGAATGCAATTAACATGGTTTTTCTCTGTGAAGATATTGCTATGGGTATCAATAATAAATGTTCTTACTTTGCGTGTATTTTACTTTTGGTAAATCTGGTCAAACTTGAGAATGAACTGCAGTGGTATTGTTCACGCTTGTGTAACTGTAAAAGATAAATGGATTTTATTTTCATGATTCAGATGCAAGGTAAAAATTATATTTGACAATATATTTTCATATGTCTCAGAATAGCCCAAGCATTGCAAAAAAAGTTTTTTTCAAAGATCTGGTACTATATTTAAATGCATGATTATCTTATTCGGAATAGATAGCTCTTTCTTGGTTATAAAATAAGTTAACATTTCTTTTTTTTTTAATTTCTTTACTGTATAAACAAAAGCATGACAGAAGTAAACTAATAAAAAGTTAAATATATTTAAATAATAAATATAAATGTATTTAAAAAATCCAATATTACATGTTATTTTATCCACTTAGGTCTTACTTTAAATTTAAAACCAGGAATCGGAAAGATAACGAATGGTAATCGTGCTCAAAGGTACAAATAAAGAAAACAAAAGCAGAGCACATACAAATCCCCCAAAAACATCACGGGTGGAATCAAGTGCCATGGGGGAGGGAAATCATCTCTTTTTGACCGGTAACACAGGCAGTAGTCTCTTTCTATTTATTGGGTAACGATTAAACGAAATAACTATACATTATAAATTCAGTATGAAAACAACGGTCTGTACTTTGTATTGAAGATATCAGTCCACATATTTTACCCTTAAAACAAATTTTATCGGCAAAGAAGGTCTTTGTCGGCAGAAGAATTGTTGACTTTTTGATATTTATGTAGCATCAGCATTTTGTATTTAGTATATTGCTGTTTACAAACTACATATAAGGAAAGTTAAATTCACTATAAATCTAGTTATGTTACCACCAATGATTTTCTCTATTACACATCCAAATACAAAATAAATTTGTAGGACTGTTCTGTGTCATTTATTTTGAGGTCATTGGGATATATCTAATCAATATATATAAATTTGAAAATTATACAAACAAAAAAATTACTTCTCACTGATTTTGTACAGATGTACATGACATGTACATTATCAGTGTGAAGTCAATGTTTTTGGAAAGGTGTACATTATCTTTCAGGTCTAGAGAAGTACCAGCTTGTTCTTCTGATCGTCGGATCCACAGTAAGTGTGGTTGCTACATGGCTGATAGTGGACTTTTGTCTATATCATCGTGAAATAAAAGCAAGAAGAGAGAAAAAGAGAAAAGAATCTTGGCATCCTCGCCAAAATAAACCGCCACGCTTGTCAATTCCTTTTACCAAAAAAACAGGATTGAATGCATCATCCGTTCCTGTGGCGGATGCTGAAACTAATGGACAAACAGGTTTCCAGAAGTTTCTTAGTTTCTTTAACATTAAAAAGAATGAAGAAAACCAAAATAATACAAAGCAACTTGAGAAAAGATCGCAAAGCTTTAACGACGCTAATCTAAAAGGGAAGAAATTTATTTCACCAAAGAGCCGACGTTTTACTGAGATCTTTTCAAATAAAGTAGCAAATCTGAATGTTGATATCGATTCCAAAGCAACAACAAAAAAGGAAGAAAACAGAAAAATACCAGAAAGTACAGAATGGAATCAAGGTTCCACCGACAGAGAAAATCTTCAAAGTGCAGACAGTGGACATTTTTCCGAAGGTAAAAGAGGGGGTGAAACAAAATGGAAGACTGAATTTTCTGAAACGGATAAAGCAGTAAAAGATGAGTTTAGTGACGTTGAAGAAGAAGTTGGAATATCAAGGTCAAAGAAAAAATCAAAAAAGAAGAAAGATGGGAACAGCTCCAGAAAGACATTCTCTCTTTTACATCACAGATACCTCTGAAAAAGAAATGAAGATTTTGATAATATTGATAAATGCTTTGACAGTACATGTAGATTGATTTTAATGCAAACGTTATCATTAATGATCTCACATACATCTGATTCAGAAAAGTTCTCATTGCTTAATAATATTCGCACTTAATTTTACAGCTGGAGTCCATATGTATGAAAAAATGTAACTATGAATATCATTTTCAAAAATATTTACAAAACCTTTTTTCTGATAAATAGTTGTTTTTTCCATTGCTTTCCACTGATTGTCAGGAAATTGCATCTACAAAATCTTAAAAAAGGGGATTGCCTGATTAAAATTCATCTACAATACTAGTATGTAATCTTCTTGATAACTTTTAATAATTAACTAAACTACTGTGCAGTTTGGTTTCTAATGTTTTTACTGTCATAACATGACAACTGTCTCATCTTTTAAAATCAAGAATCAATGTCAAATTTGAAACAAATGATTTTAGAGCATTTAAAAAGTAACTTTCAATTCCATTGACGTACATGTACTCTTTCCAATTTTCTTAAAAAGTGACAGCAAAACTGATCTCTTTTAAAAGCAGAATTCTTTTTCGAGGTAGTTTTTATATTTACTACAGGATAATTATTCTATAATAAAGGAGGAAGCTTTATTGCAAGGCAGCTTGTGTAATCACAATAAACATTTGCAAATAATTTAATTGTTTGTCATTCTTTTGCATGATTGACTGTGTTTTAAAGCAGTTTTAATTAACAATTGTTATTGGGCAATATGTATAAATATACATCGTACATTGCTCCTTGTTATTAAAGAGAAAGACGTTGACCTATGCACTTTGACATGATTGGTTTCTTTTATTGTTCCTCATCTTAGGTGAGTGGCATAAAAAATGCAGGATATTTATTGACGGTCAGAGTTACAACCCATTTATTGGTCTTGATTGTGCCTTTGGGAATTCTTAATTGCAATGCACTAATTTTCTTAGTTTTTCACTATTTTTTCAACAGTTTGAATAGAGCTAATTCAAATGAGTATGAAAATAACATTTTGATTTAATCTTGTTTAATAGTGATGTTTTACAATGAAACATATTGAGATAACAAATAGTATTCAAGCTCAAAAGTCCATAAAACAATACAATAGCAGAGTAAACACGGACGTCCAAAACATCATAGGTGGAACCAGGTGCCATGGAGTAGTGACTTCCCCTGCTGACCGGCACACCTTGTCATGATCAGGAAATAACGGGGAAATCCGTCGTCTATTCAGTGTTAATAAAGGACTAACAATTAGTATGAAAAAAAAGTCACTCACCATTTGACTCAATGTTAAACTGTATTTGCTGACAAGGTCATTATATTGACCATAGAACTTACGAAAAGATGACATTAAACGACGTCGCTGATATTCTTGTTTCACCAACTTGTTTGTCCTCGTTTTAGAAATTGTACATACGTAGAGCATGTTCTTGCGTATCGAATCAACTGAGATATATACATACATACTCAGAATGCAGGTGATGAAGGTATATTGCTGCATTAGTAACGCTGAATTCGAAGTATCTTTTATCTCAAGCTCGCCGTGATATATCGTATCGACATAAGAATGGAAATAACTATTGTTAATTGATAATACGTTGTCGTTTTATCTAAATGTCGAGTTGAATGCCACAGCAAGTGTTTTCTTCTTTTCACGAAATAGATTTTTGACAAATTCTTAACAGTTGTTTTCATGTATCAGGAAACAACAATTATACGAAAACAACAATTATTCGTGATAATGGGAATGCATTTTGACAAACCTTTAATATAGTCAGGTCATTTAACTTTATACTGTATAAGTTCAGGGATGGTCACGAAAATGTGTAATCACAAAGTATTTTTGCAAGGAAAACGCTGAATTGAGATTTTTAGCTTCGTTATTCAAGTACATTACCGAAAGTTCAAACTAAATATATTAGAGATAAAGAACAGCGATTAAATTCCAATTCCAATTAAACAGTTAAAATTAGAGCAGGACAAGGAGAAACAAGAGAGGCGGGACCAGGTGCCATTGAGAAGTAAGTATACACTGTTAACCTGTAGCATCTGATGTGAATCCTTTACCTGACAAAAACATATACATACATGTAGAAAAATATACCGGTAGTTTAGGTCTTACTACATAATTTCCTTGGGTCAATTTTTTTTACTCTCTTCAAAAATTTGTAATTTGGTTATTAAAAAAAAGTTCATTGTGCGTTATCTTTTCCATTTAAATTTAACCATCCCGTTTATCAAATATTGGTCTTTGTTTTACCATTAATGTTTATATCTATCAAAATATCAGTTTGAAATAAAGCAATTTTGTTGTGTCTTTTATTTCTTGTTCATTGGCATATATTTACATGTTGTTATAATTTACAAAAACAGTTATTGTTACTTGAAAAATCAAAAGCACTTGTCGAAAAATCTTTATGCCGAATTTCAGGCTAGCTACAGAAAGGACACATTTCAAATGAAATCAGAGTGCTTAAACATTTTATTTTGTTCGATTATCAAACACAAAACCCGATAGTGTTTAGGTGCATAATTAGGTTCCTGAAATATGAAGATATCAAACAGTTATGTTCAAAAGTCAAAATAAACAACATTAACTTTGAGCAGAGTAAACAGAGGCCTCTGAAAACATCAGAACTGGAATCAGGCGGCCTGGAGGAGTAAGCATCCCTCGTCAACAGGTTACACTTGCTTTGTGCTGTTTGTCATGATCGGGTTAAAATACAAATCTGTAGTCTATTCATTATGTAAAAAATGACCAAAAATGTATACGTCAGTTATAAGATGATTTGATCTAACAACTAATTGGATCTGCTCACAGGATCATTGTTTTTAAATTAAAATTTGCAAAATACAGTCTTAACGGGATTATAGATACCCTTTTATCATCCAACTGCTGGTCAGTGGCCTGTCTACCCGTCTGACACATCTGTTTCATACTTGGATGTTTTACTTGAAAAAGACGTTAATGGTAATCTAACAACCAAGCTATATGATAAACGTGATGAATTTAACTTTTCCATCGTCAACTTCCCTTACTTATGCAGCAATATACCTTCATCACCTGCATACGGAGTATATATATATCTCAGTTGATTCGATGTGCAAGAACATGCTTTACATATGAACAATTTCTAAAACGAGGTAAATTATTGACAAGCAAGTTGATGAAACAAGAATATCAGCAGTCTCGTTTAAAGTCATCATTTCGTAAGTTCTATGGTAGATACTATGACCTTGTCAGCATATACAATTTATTATTGAGTCAAATGCTGACGAACGTTTTTCATACTTATTGTTAGTCCATTATTTATACACTGAATTGACGACGGATTTTTCCGTTATTTCCCGATCATGACAAGGAGCACACGGCGGATGTGACCGGTCAGCAGGGGATCCTCACTCCTCCATGGCACCTGATCCCACCTCTGATGTTTCGGAGGTCCGTGTTTGCTCTGCTCCTAATTTGTATTGTTTTATGGACTTTGAGATTGCGTACTGTTCGTTGTTTTCATGTCCTTTTAAAAAAATGTTTATTTTAATGCAATAAGTATTTTGATACCCCGGTTACCCATCAACTGGCTAATTTCTTTCCATAATCCTTTCAATGCTAGAACACCTTATCTTATCCTCCTTCAATGAGTAAAAAGTCTGTAAAACAGTTTGTCGTGTGTTGCCACCTTTGTGACGTTTAATAATTTGTTTGAAATTCTCAAAAGTATTATTAACAATGACATATAATTTTTAGCAGACACAAGATATCAAGATGAGAAATAAACCAATTTTGTAAAGGGAGATAATCCAAATTTACAGTAATTACCACTTAGATTTAACAGAAAAATCATGAAAATGGGTCTGAAAACGCGATTTAACAGAAAAATCATGAAAATGGGTCTGAAAACGCTAAAACATAAATTTAAAGAACAAACAAAAATGGCGGAGGCGGGGTGGAAGGAGGTAAATAACAAACTTTGATAAAACGTCCGTCCTCCAAGGATGTAGATGGGAGAAGAGGCAGAGTAACGCACCGCGTGGTCAGAATTTCATTTGTTAGATTTTGATTGGTCAGACTTTGATTGGTCAATCTCTGCCTCTCCTACCCCGGTAAGACATGAAACAAAATTACCATTACAAAGCATAGCTATACAATATTTCAGACTTTCACATTCAAGGAGGACACTTATTGATTACAATAAAAAAATTTAAGTAAACTTAAATTTATTTATTTTAATGCAATAAGTATTTTGATACCCCGGTTACCCATCAACTTGCTAATTTCTTTCCATAATCCTTTCAATACTAGAACACCTTATCTTATCCTCCTTCAATGAGTAAAAAGTCTGTAAAACAGTTTGTCGTGTGTTGCCACCTTTGTGACGTTTAATAATTTGTTTGAAATTCTCAAAAGTATTATTAACAATGACATATAATTTTTAGCAGACACAAGATATCAAGATGAGAAATAAACCAATTTTGTAAAGGGAGATAATCCAAATTTACAGTAATTACCACTTAGATTTAACAGAAAAATCATGAAAATGGGTCTGAAAACGCCACTGACTTGACCGAACTAGGGAAATCTCTGCCTCTCCTACCTCGGTAAGACATGAAACAAAATTACCATTACAAAGCACAGCTATACAATATTTCAGACTTTCACATTCAAGGAGGACACTTATTGATTACAATAAAATTTTTTTAGTAAACTTAAATTTATTTACGCGAGGAACATGCTTTTGTGTATCAAAACAACTTGGAGACATGAAACAATTATGCAGGTATTAATTGTATATTGCTGAAAATGATAATGGGGGAAGAAAATTTGGAGACTGGCTATAATTTGGACAAAGAAAAGTTACTTCAGTCCATTTTTAAATGCAAGTGCATTGAGTAATTACTAAAGTACCAAGAAAGTGTTTTGTTTTTTTAACATAAATCATTATCCTTTTATTTGATCTTTCAAGAAAAATTGAATTTTTTAAAAATGTCATCTCAAAATAATATTTTGCATTCCAAACATTTTCAGTATGTTTTTTGTGTGTTTTTTCTGTGGCTTGAAATGCATCTATGTTTATGAGATATTTGGCAGATATTTAGCCAATATCTACCTTCTTCTGTTAATTTAAAAAGAAAATGATTTTCATTACCTGCATTTTTTGTACATGTTGCTGAATATGTTTCCAGTCATTGTGTTTTAAATTCATCAAAATTCTAATCATTTTATCTAAATAAAACATTTCCAACTTCTGAATTACTGTAGCAAAATGATTGATTGCACTCAGTTTCTTACTCGGTATTCAATGTATATTGAAGGGATTTGAACGATTTTAAATAATTTTAAACTATAGTTATTAATAAAAACACAATTGCTAGATAACGATTAAAGTTAAATGAACCAAATTTACAAGACTGATAAGATGTAAAAAGACGGTCATTTTGCACATTAAAAGTTTCCGAAGAGTTATCTGCCCTAGATGAAAAGAAGAAAATTTTTGAGTTCTCAAAATTTCTGCAGTAAATAATTTATTTTATTTCATAGTTTAATAAAGAGGAGGTTTATGCATATTTTCACCAAAAGATTTGTTTGAAATTCGGATTACGTTTTACAATATCTTATAAAAAGATGCCCATAGACTTCAATGTAAAATTCAAGGTGAAATTAATTGGACAATAATCAAAATTTTGTAAATTCCTTTGGTGGAGCGTTTTCATTTGATAACATCTTCAAAATGCTACCATGATTAAAATATCGAACAGTTCATTTATAAGGTACAGAAAACGGTCGTTGATCTTCGATAGTCTTTATATATAACAGACATAGAATTTTGGATTTTTTAACAAGGGTTTCATATTTTTTTTTTACCTTTGAAATGAGCAGCGTTTTAAGGTTATCATATACGTACAGAGTAGAAATAGTAAAATATACATGTAGATGTAAGGGTTGTCGAGCTTTGGTCAAAATTCATCGTATTCCAAGATAGACATTGAACTGTAAAAGTTGTCGAACTTTCTTCGTGCCTGATGTCTACTAGCGATTGAGTACATATAGGTAATGCATTAAGTTCTAGTAAACTGTGGCAACAAACACTATTAATGAATAAAAGAACTGTAGTATAGAGATGAATTTACAAGTGTGCTTATTTTTTAAATGTTAACAAGTTTCAGTACATTTTTTGTAACTTTTTGTATAAATTATTTAAAACACAATTAAAACTGTCATTTATTCAAATAACAAATGACTAAGAATAAAATCTATAATACATATTACACAAGGTTATAAAACAATTAATTGGCTGGGCTTAAAATAAAATATACAGTTGATCACAAATTGACTAGTTAAAGTTACATTTATTTTTTAAATGTTAACAGTTAATAATTTTGTGAATTCACTTTTTTTTAATTATAGAATGACATTACATCCCAAGTGTTTTCTTTTTAAATAGAAACTTAATAATTTTGTGAATCATTTTTTTTATTCGTGTTCTTTTTTTAAAAAATTTCTTGGATTGCAATTGAAAAATGAATCTTTGGAAATATCATTCACTATGATATGCACATTATTTGAATGAATTTAACGGCTGCCAGAAGGTTAGCTGTAACTAACATATGTTCTTTTCTTGTCTGGTGCATACTAGACAACTTTGAAATTCAAACGTCCTGCGAGGACGAAAACATCCATGGAATTCTTGTATTGCGATGAGAGGCATCAAATTCTAAGCATTTAGAACATTGCATCATAATTACTCAGCTTTTAATTATTCACGTGTTTGGTTATTTAATAGTCACAACTTGTATTTTCTGTACTTTTCAGGACAGTAACCATGCATGAAACATGATTATTAAGTATGCTGAAACAGAACATTTTCAGAGGTAATTGTACTGTAATGATTTCTAAATGAATCAGTTAGCAATGGATGGAAATTTGAAAAAATAATAAAATAAAAAGACAATGAATATACATGTAGGAATAATCAAAATAACGAGGCTTCTGTCTTTTCACTGTTTCACACATTGAAAAGAGAAAGTCTTCAATTTTTTCGAAGCAAGAATATTTGCGAAGTCTCGTTTGAAATCATCATTTCGTAAGTTCTGTGGTCGATACAGTGACCTTGTCTGCAAAAGCAATTTATCATTTAGTCAAATGCTGACTAAGCTTTTTTATAACGATTGTTATAACGATTGTTAAGGCATTATCTACACACTGATTTTTCAATGGATTTTTTCCGATTTTTTTTACCTGAACATTCCAAGGTGACTGATAGGCAGGAGATGCTCACTCCTCCATGGCACCTGATCCCACCTCTGATGTTTTGGAGGTCCGTGTTTTCTCTGTTCCTATCTTGTAAATTTTTTTTTACTTTTGAGCTATTCCTTATCTTCATATTTTTTTTATACTTCATTAAAAATCACTCCGTATTTATCCAGGTCTACAACTATTGTACTTTGAGCATAGATCTCTACTTGACAACTCAGTTTTGGTTCCAGGAAAAAGACGTATGAAGAGTGATCAAAAAGTTTTCGAACTATCACAAAACCTCAGTTCAGATTAGAATGAAATCTGGTACATAAATAGCCATAAATAAGTTCTGTAAATAGCATATGTTGTATAATATTTTGCTCCTTCTTTGTGACGTCACAATGTGAAAATTTTGTCAATATATCAATGACTTTTAACAAAAAATGGTGACTCAGTCATGCGCGAGTAATGAACGGTTGTAAAGTTTAAGGTATTCCTTTGAAATTCCTTTGCAGCATCGTATAATAATTTGTATACAGTTAATTAAGACAATACTTCATAGCAGTTCAGTCAATGATTGGACTGCTCGTCTTAGTGAAGGAAGAGAGATCGTTAAAAAAGATACTAGTATTTGTGCTGTTGCCCAGTGAAAGTCGATGTGTTTTTAGCAATTTGTTATGAAAAATCTCAATTTAGAGTTTGAAAAATAGTTGAATATCTTTAAAACAATATAATTATTAAATACCTAGAGTATCGTGTGCTATAGATTTTTAATATATTAGATATTTAATAAAAAGAAGGCGACTTTAAACTTCACATTGAAAAAACGACTTTCCCGAGACAGAGGACTCGGGTTTTGATGGTCGCCAAGCTCATTCTGGAAAAGGATATTCTTATCCACCCACTCTGTTGACGAGATTTGGCCACTTCTTAGAAACAGACTGTTCTTGTTGTAAAAATTAATTTGCATGGAAAGAAATAATCTTTCAGCTTTTTTGACAGAATGATTCGAAGCAGGTCACGTGACAACCAAGATGACATGATTTGCGTATGAGCAGAACGGTGACAGATGTGCATTAAAATCGGAAAGGACTAATTTTAAATATAACAAAATGAAACCAAATATTGTTTTTATTAATTTTTTTTAATAAAATTTATTCAATTAGTTCGCCAACTTTTTTTTTCACCTCTCGCATCTAATAAGAAATAATTATTTAATACATTGTTATCTTATTCAGTGAGATTGATTTTTTTATTATAATTATTATTATTTTACAATTGATAAACAAGAAGCACAGTAAAGGTGATAAAAATTCTTGTGAATAAATATAAGTCTTTCCAGGGATGCATTAACTTTTTTCATTTAAAAAAATTAATATCATGTTATTTCTTATTTAAATGGGGGGAATAGAAGAAGCATTGATGACATGCAATTCTTGGTGCTGTCTGGCTAAGGATCTATGTATTAATTAACAGTAATTTTTAAAAATGATATATAAAGTTAAAACAAAGACATGGTTACGGCCAAAGAAATTTAATTTCTTACGTAGCCTTAATTACAGTCAACACTAACGTATTGTCAGCATCATCAAACTATAAATCTCTTAATGCATCAAATGTTACCAAAAAATGTGAGCAAAATTACGCAAAGTCTGATGAGCTCAAATGATGAGAACCAGCGAAACGTGACAGACAGCGACAAGGGCGATAGATTGTTGATTAATCAATAAAGTTTTACGACTTCATTTGCTCATTTATAGTCTCCGAGTGGACCCCTCTGCTGGAAAGAATAATGAGAACTTTTCACCCAATGAAGAGGCCTTACTGGAAAAAAAGAAAAGAAGCAACATTGGTGTCAGAGAGGGGAAAAAGACATCAGAATATTCTCAAGAAAAATCTGTAAGTTGTAATGAGCTAAATAAAAGTATGTTAAAGAATTAAGTACCTTAACCTTAATTAGGAATTAGTGGAGCGTCATGCATTTTGCTTCGCTCAGTTTCAAAAATATCTGCTATTAAACCCAAATATGCATTCCAGAATATAAAATAACACATCTATCGTTACTTAATTATGGGGTTGCATGTAATTTGCCACCATAAATCAATTATGCATTAGTATGCCCTGGTCCATTGCAGAAGCCACAATCAAAGATTGACCGCGCTAGCTTTTGCCTCCGTCAATTATTAGCGATAAATTTCATTAGCCTGGTATCAGGTAGAATTCCAGTTCACGGGAATTTCCTATAGCTCATGATTGTTTCCCGATCCTTAAGTTACTTTCATAGGAAACTTTTGCTTGATTAAGTGAATAAATGGATTACACCAGTGGAACTAAATATGTTCAAGGCAGTAAAGTGGAATAAAGACCCTTTTACATCGCGGCGGCTCGTACAGAATCTATAATTTTTGCAAGAGTCTAATCTTATCCTATCAAAAGAAGGAAATATACAATGGTTACTTCAACGGTGAGTGATTTTTTTAACTTTGAAATAATTCTTTGAGTAATTTAGATATTGAATTTGATTTATTATTTTGCTTTTCCCCTTTTAGTTCATTTTATGGAAATTGTATCATAATTTGATAAACTTCAATTTGCTTCATATATCCATTCCGCACTACATCATGCATAAGAAATCCATGCTTAAGAGAAGTAAACGTTTCGGTGTATATTTTTAAATTTCAAAAGAAATAAGATATGTTTATGAAACATCGGCAGGTCATTGTCGAGATTAAAGTCTCTCAAAAGTAGGTCATATTGCAATTGAGCTGAAGAACATTGGGTAAAAAATGTTGGTCTTCATCATGTTCATATATTGGACTGTCACAAGAAATACATCAGTGAAACATGAAAACTAAAAACCTCAGCGCCAACCGTTTCAAGTTATGGCATAGGTAAATAATTTTTGAATAGGTCAGGCCATAAAACTTAAACAAGCTCACTTTGGATCTCAGTCTCACTTTTACCAAAGGAAAATATATTGTAAAAGTGAGACTGAGATCAAAAGTGTGCTCGATTAAGTTCTATGCCCCCCAGGCCAGGTCAAGAGATAAAAGAAATGTTGCTACCCAAATTGAAAAGCATTCGAACAAATTAAACCTCAGGCTAGCTATATGCTCTCTCCAATTTTAGGGCATTAAAATATGCAAGTTAAAAAGAGAAATAAGAAATAAACTTTCAAAATGATTTTTATAAATATATTATAGCTGTATATTTCTCTTGAAGGAGTTGTTATTTTCTTCACTTAGCAAAAATTCGAGGATTGTTATTCAACAACAACAGACTATGGTCGAAAAAAAAGTCGATTTGTTGAGAATATCAAAAATATTTAAAAACCAAATTTTTGATGATTGATTTTATATGGGCATTATCATATTGCACTGTACTTTATTTATATGACTGCATTTATGTTTTAATACCTTTCTTACGTTTACTAATATTAGTCGTGGAACTAAACTCGGGTACAATGATACTAGCCCTCAAGAAGCACTTGACATGTTAATAAAGAATAGTGTGTCGGAAAACAGATCAATTCTGAAATTTGTTTTTATGAAGATTTCATTGTTATATACATCTTTTTATTTTCATTGATTGTAAACATTATTTGTCGTAAGGTGTTGACTGAAGTCTTTCAAACAAACTGTTTTATTTATTTTCATAGCGAGTAGACTATGGATTTCTCTGTATTTATATCACAAAACGCACACGGTGGGTGTGAACAGTCGACAGGGAATCCTTTCTCCTCCATGGTAACTGGTTTCACCTCTCATATTTTTGTATCCCACTGACCGGTCCTTCGGATGAGACCGTATAAACAGAGGTCCCGTGTCGCAGTAGGTGCTGGCATGAAAAAATTCCTTCACTGTTCAATGGCTTTGAGTGCCCGGTATAGGACAAAATTTGCAGCTCTCCACCGGCAAGTGGTGGCGTCTCCATATGAGTGAAAAATTCTCGAGAGGGACGTTAAACAACATCCAATCAATTATATTTTCGTTTCATTTTTCCTTCAGTGCTCAGCTCATGATTATTTGTAGCACTGTTTATTACATATTTCAATGTAAACGGTACGTTATAATAAAAAAAATTGCTTGAAAGTTTACCATGATAAGTTTTATAATTCAAAAATGATCAATAAAAACAAAAACGTATTGCCTTTGACCGTTTATTTAGAAAAACTTTTAAGAATCGATATTATATTAAATGTACCTCAAAAAAGCGATTGTGATATTTAATTATGATGACGTGTTTAGCAAACTGTCAACACGTAAGATTAGTGGCATGTGTTAGAGTACTATTTTTTTCTTTTCTTCTTTCATTTGGTTTCGTTAACGACCCTTGCCAATTGCGCTCCATAGAACAATATTATGAATAATTAATGCATGATTTTTTGCGATAGATGTCTGGGGTGTTATCTATTATATTGAGCTTTGTTCCGTTTGCTGGAGAGCGAAAGCAAAAACTGACTTCACATTTGGAAACCAAATTAAAGTTTAAGAATATTTAATTGCATGCTTACTTTTATTATTGTGCATCGACAAATTGCGTGGGGATCTCTCTTCTTAAACAAGTTACTCTCTCCTAAAAGCGATGAATTAATGACTGTTTATTATCATTATAATGATACTCTGATTGTAAGTTATATATCATTACCAACATCATTATATCAACGTTAAAAAAGATTCTTACCTTGTCAGTCACATACTACATGTAGTACTTTTGTGAAAATTTTGTTTCAAACTGGTAAATTAAATAGATAAATTGGAAATTAAGTAATCGGAGAATTCAACAGGGAACATATTAGGAAAAGGAAAAAAAATTGTGATAATTTCAAAATTATTTTCTCTTCAAGTGTCTTAACTCCATAATACTGGTAAACTGGTACATGTTGTGTGCATAATAATATGGAACATAAGTAGAACATAAGTCACACGCCAACTCTGCAAAATTTGAATGTTGCAGTCATTTTCAGATCCTGGAAGAAAGATATTTATTTTGGCAACCAAACGTATTGACTCATTTGATATAGGGCAGAGTTCTTAAATTGCAATTTTTCTTCTTAAAAATTTGTAAAGGATTTTTAAATTATTTATAGACACATAAAAATACTTACTTATCTTAAAGGGACATGGACAATTCGGTTTCCGCTAAAAAAAAAATTTAATTTTTTCTTCCATTTTTTCATGTTTACAAATATTTAACTTAGGTATTTTTAATAATTATGAAAAAATTGGAATATCAGTTGTCGAGATACAAGATAGATGTAGAGCTCTAAGCATTTCTTATGCAAATAAAGCCTTTACATGTTTTTGTTAACATAGCATTAAAAAAAATATAAACAAAAAAACTAATACATGTTCGTTCAAAGAAGATTTTTTCAAAGAAGCTAATTTTAAATACGATTAGACAGTATCTAATGATTTGCTTAATCTCGTTTTGCTAAAAATAGGATATTTTCTATATGGAAACAAAAACAAGGCAAGAGCCTTTTTACATTATGAAGAATTTTAGGTTCTGCATCTCCTTTGTAAATCAACAAATGATGTTCAAACCTTTGCTGGTCGTTTCAATTGCCTTAAATAGGAGATTTTAACATTAAAATTGGTTTTTACAAAAATGAGTTGAAACTGTGTCCATGTCACTTTAAGATACAGAAAATAAAAATTTGTGGCATTTTGTAAAAATTGGCCTTACAGACATCAGATAAGAGACTTTTGATATGACATTAAAAAATTGTTCGACAATCGTGCATATGCTTTCAGAATATTGTTGAATTTCTAAAATGCATATTTGTCATGAAATTTTCCCTTCAAGTATTTTTTTTTTTTGCCTTTCATTTTGAACTGAAATTCAATGTAATAACATTTTGAGATTGAAATTCTCATAAATGTCCTTAAAGATTTTTTGTTTTTGGATCCTGATTCATTTCAAGATTCTTTGTTGTCCAATCTTAAAGAAAAGTTAATCCAGTGTTGCAACATAATATTCGAATTTCATCGTTTGCGAATGCTTCAAGTATTCTACATGGAAGAAATAATGTATGTATTAACATTACAAAAACCCTATACATGTATTTAAGCTTTTTTATGAAATATCTTTAGTGTTGCTACTTAGTATCGTATGACTTTAAAACTGCATGACATTTTGTGTTCTCGTTTGTCTTTGAAAAAAAAACTGAATATTGTAACATAAGAGACTATAAATCTCTTCGCCCACTTGTAAACATAAATATTTAATGAAAGGATCTGTAATTTCCTGGTCTTGTAATGATTGTTCGTTATTTGGCCTTACGTCTTTATTAATTATGTATATGAAACATCCAAAATACTGATGCTGCCTTAAAACTCGATGGGTTCTCTTTTGTTTTTAACTATAGAAAAAACACAAAAGGAGCATCTGTACTTTAACGGAGACGCGCCTTGTTTCCTCATGTATCGAATTTCTTAATTAAAGTTTCTGTTAATCATCGATGACTGGCAATATTATTGAATGTTCTCTTTGTTAACATGCATGTGTTTTCTTCCTCTTCATATTAATTTTTTATTACCTAATAAAAAGTATTCATATAATGTCTATGTATAAATGCATTTATGGAAATATAATCGACATGCTTGTCGATCCTGCCAATGAATAACGTCTTTATTTTTATCCATAGATAATTCGAACACTGTCAACTTTGTGGACTTATTTCCTCAAGTAAAGCTTCAAAATCCTACAGATATCACAGATTTATAGAAGTAATAAGGCAAAGAAAATACAATAGATTTACAGAAAAATTGACAGACCCTGCAAGTGGTAAGGAAGGGCCGTCACAATGACTCCTTTATTCATATAAGAATTTACCCGTCAAGCTGATTTTTTCTTGAATCTATTAATGAGGGCAATTTGTCAGTTTGTCTGAGACAGCAGTTTCGGAAGTTACGCCAAACACAGTTAAAAAATAAATACTGCATTATTACAGTAAAATGTCAAAGCATATGGAACCGAATGAACTCTAAATCCTCTCTGCATATGCTTTGAGCTTGTTATTTTTTTTTCATCGAGACAGTATATATGCTTCATGCCTGAACTCAAATTCTTGAGCCTTTTAAGAGCTTAAACCTTATCTATATTTTGTATAATACTTAAAATTTATTATACAACTTCGGATATTTCATGATTGCATTGTATACATGAAAGTCAAGTACCGAAGTTTACGTTTTCTCCCCTGTTATGAAAAATATCCTATTATCACTTCATTACGATACACGACTAAAGCACAGGAAATATATACCAATTACCTCTGGTCATTAGCAGTAGATAGCTAATGTAAACACCACGTCTTATACAAACAATATGGAATCATCACCAATTACTGGTCAGTCTACCTCTCGAGTCTTGGAATGTTTTCCGTGATACTAGACGACAATCCATGTTTTCTCAAACGGGTTTGGACACATCTCTGGTAGGGTTTCTTTTGTTTTTGTTTATTCTGAAAATTAAAAGAAACAAATTTATTTGACTGTCTACAGTTGTTTTTGACAGTTGAACATGCGAATAGATTGAAAATCCGATATTGGAATAATTTTCAGTAGAATGTTGCACATGATTGTATGAAGTGTGAATTTTGGGGATCGAATACTTCCTATTTATATGCGTCACATCCATAGGTAGAAATTCTATTTATTAATATACTTACTCCAGTAAAATAGAATTACTTTTTTTAAAAGTCAGCAGGGAAAATGTACAAAATAATGACAGTGCGTGATCTTAAAAATCGGGAAAGAGTAAAACCTTTAAGTATCTAATCTCGTAAATAAGACCCAGCCTTAAATTGCTATCTTGTATCTCCAAGGAAATCGAGCCGTATCCAAAGGGGTATTATTGGCCTGCTATTCCAATAAGTTACGTGCTGTTTAAGTGTATATTTTTGTTTCATCAATAGAGTCCTAGTGCTAGATTCTTGTAGAAACCCCGTCCATAATTGCTCGCATGGGTGTTCGGGGACAACATAAAAACCTATTGATTTGCTTTGTATTTATTAGCACGCGCAGGTGATAATTCTTTTAACTCGCCATCTGCTTAAAAATCTCGATCAATTGGAATTCTTGTCATAATAATTATTTTCCTTTCAATTAAACCTGCGGAGTATAAAAATAACGAGAAAGCATAAAGCTAAGATATTTCATTTACCTTGCGCGTGTCATTTAAAACGCTGATTGAAAATAAAATGGGTTTTTAAATGGAGGAAAAAAAACGGCGAAAGTTCAAAATGTGTATATATTTTCCAAGTTGCCCGCATATCAGGTGAGAAAAGATTATATATATTGTAGGTTAGTATGTTACGACAGGATCCCTCTTCACACTGAACCCGAGGTGAGCATTGATTATTCAAGGAGGATATAAAGAGACTAATAGGTCTTTTGCATTTTCAGGAACTGGGCACGGAGTGTCACCGATGTCTATACACGTGATTCCATCTTGAGGAATTAATGTCAACACTTTTTGCAGAGTAAGTACAATATATTTCACTTTTTTACTTGTTCTATATAGCAGGTGAAGCAATCTTTTTTTCTAAAATGCTTATTTTTTTCCCTTTTTAATGACATTGTCCGTAAGTATCTCGTGATTTTTTTTTTCTTCATATTTAATCCGTGCAAGTCGAGCTACATATTATTTGATGAAATGATTTTAATTCTTAAGATTTCCTCATATTCAATACCAAACTTGCTTGATAAAAAAAATACTCAAATGAAACTGCAATTTAGAACTTATGATATCAAGATTTACATGTCATTTTTCATCAAAAACTGAGTTGTATTTTTTAGTTATTTTTCAATTAAAGTTAACATTTATTGGAACATTCAGTAGTGTTCATACATAAGTACGATTTTGAATATATTCTTAATGGCAAATACAAATTAACAACTTTTTGGATTTTAAACGAACATTTAAATGTCAAACGCATTTTCATGTTGCATGTATCTGGAAATGATGGGGTTGTCATAGCAGCGTTATTTCTGTGATGCTTGTATTTCAAAGTCTGATATTTTGATAAACAAGTTTGTATCATATTCTTACAATAGATCACAGCAAGACAAAGTCAATTCTTCATCGGGGACTTGTCATTTCGCGCTCTGTGTTCTCTGAAGTAACGTATTACGTCTATCGGGTTAGGAAAAAGAGTAATCAGTATCGTGAACCCAACATCCGTTTTGTAATTAGTCTCCTGATTTAGCTAGTAAAGGAGATAACAATTTCGCAATAATCCTGAATAATTCCACGTCTGGCGTCCATATACATGTACAATTGTAGAGCTTAACTTCGTTATTTACCAAATATAGGCCTTAAGTACATGTTATAATTGCAAAATACATTCAAAGGAAGGCACACTCAATGTAATAACTGCAATCATACATGTATGAGCCGAAAGGTAAGTCTCTACTGTATATCATATATTCTCAATCGTTTGAAATTCGAATTGTTAATTAAAGTAAATATATCGAGTAATGTTTTATACTTTTATATTTGTTCGTTAAATTTAGTGCAAATTTGTTCCGTTACGTACATGTGTAGGTGCTCTTGGTAAATACTTTAGTTTACATTTTAATTAGACGTATACGTAAATTAACGTTTTTAATTCCAAATAATTCTTATCAAGTTTGTAAGAATGTGATTCATTTTCATTGCTTTTTAATAGTATCTTGTGGTATTTGCATTCAAATTAGGAATATAAACTATAGGATATGGAGCACTATACATGAAGCTCTACTAACGCTGAGATAAACACCACGGCCAAAAACAATGAAAATATTCAAAGAGAACAAGCATTATAAGAGTTTTTCTTAATTAGCAATTATACTATATAGTCCCCTACCATCAAGTTCAAGTATATGGTTCCGATTACATTTGATTGTCATAATTGCTTCCAAAAATGCAAACTTGATCTTTAACTCATCAAGGTACACTCACAAAATCAGCTCAAAGTCGGCAAACTTTTTGAAGAAAAAAAATGCGGAAAACCTTTTCAAATTATGAAAAACATCCGTCAAAAATCATTAAATCAGAACAAATTGCAAAGTATCATCAAGATACACTGTTGACAAAAAATCAGCTCAATTCTGCATTTGATTAATAAAAAAAGGTTAGAAAACCAAGTTGGACAGACTTATAGAGGGACAGCTAGACGAACTGATGCAGAGGAAAACTGTAGTCCCCTTCGGTTTCACCGGTAGGGGACCAATAATTCAAATATATACCGGTATTACTATATAGACACATTAAATTGTCCAAAAAGTAAGACCAATCAAGGTAATTTGTACATACTTCAAAGTGACAATTCCTGTTGAGATAATTCTTGTAAGGTAAGTGCATAAAAAATCCACCGCCAAAACATCTTCTAAATGAATCAGAAAGCACTTTTGTTTAAAGCCAATAACGTCAATACTTTCCCCCCTTCTGTAGATAAAAGTTTTATTTTTCAGAAAAAAGTTTTCCATCAAAAAAGAGACTGACCAATTGAAATGACATGTATTTTATTAGAGTGAATGTTGAAAATAAATTCCGTTCGTTTTAATACAAGAATTTTACGAACAAATGCGTCTTTTTCTCTTGGCCTTGATATTTTATAGCCAGATATTGGCCGCCAGATTCAAAACGTATTCAAGAATGAAATTCCTTAAAAGGTTATTTTGGTATGTGGATATAATTACAGTTATACTGTAAAAGCAGTGTTATGTAAGTTAAATAATGGTAAATTATTCCTTCATTTTATTAATTACAGAGATTATACTAAGAATTAGCCCAGTATATTGATTTTAACACAACCCTAAAGCGAAAGGTTACCATTTATTTAAGTTCTAAAACTCTTTGCTTTACAACTTCCAGCCACATAATAAGGTCTAACAATAGAGGCAATGAAAAAATGAGTTTTGGTCGATATTATCAGAACACAAGTTGACAAAAGCAAGAAAACCATTGGGTAGTAGGTTCATTCATTGGAGCAGAAATCTAGTTAAATGCAGACTTCATTCATTGAAACTCCATGATAATTACACCGTTTAAAAGATTGTGACGAGGAATATGAAGAAATAACTTAATCCAAAACCTAGTGTCAAGTGCAAAGTGTCGTCAGGCGAACAGAGTCAAATAAGATTTCATTGTCGAACTATCAGACGCGTAACGCAGTTATACAGAATGGTGATTAGCCTATCTAATGCAGGCGAATATTCCGAGTACCTCAATCCAGTGGCTTAATTGCGCCAAAAAGCATACGGGTTTTGGTTTTTGTATCCATGGTTTTAGCGATTGCATTGACGTGTTACTTATTTTTTACCTTTGGGCTTGACTGGGACGCGACACGTTTATCGAATGAAGCCAATATTCATTTCGAGGATTAATTAGAGGTTGTATGATGGGTTCTTAGATAAGTATTTATTGACTTGAAGCGTAATTAAAGAGAAAATACAACATGCAGTTGCATCATGACAGGAAAAGAATAAAGAAAAGAGATTCAAATGAAAACTAGTGGGTATTGTTTTTTTAACAAAAAACACATGTCTCCCCTTCTTTACCAACATTTTTACTATCAAGGTCAAAAATAATAATGCAGTGCATCTTTCAAGTCTTAAAAATGATCTAAAGTTATGGTCTGGTCTTGTTTTTTTCCTTAATTTAACCTTGAATGAAGAAAGTGGTCAAGGTCAAATAATTTAATGTAGTGTATTTAGGCTTAAAATTGTCTTTACTTGTTCCAAGTTTAAAATCCGAATGTCAAGAAAGGTCTCAAGTTATGACTTAGGATATATTTCATATGAACGTTTGACCTTGACCCAATAATAATTAGATCAAGGTAAAAAATTTTGATCACACAGACTCTCCATCTATGTGTCCTCTGCATGTTCCAAGTTTGAAGTCTAAATGTCAAAGTTTTCTAAAGTTATGTTCAAATCATGTTTTTTCTCTACTTGACCTTGAAGAAAGAAAGGGGTCAAGGTCAAAGTCCAGGTGCACTTAATGTCTTCTTTGTATGTTACAAGTTTGAAGTCCTAATATCAAAGGGTACTAAAGCTATGACATAAACTCTATTTTAATGTGAAATTTGACCTTGACCCAATAATATTGGATCAAGGTCAAATATTTTGATCACAAGCAGCCTTCTCCAATGTGTCCTCTGCATATTACCATTTTGAAGTCTAAATGTTAAAGGTATTTCAAGTTATGGTCAAATGTTTTTCTTCATTTGACCTTGAAGAAAGAAAGGGGTCCAGGTCTAAGTTGAAAGGGGTCAACGTCTAAGTTCTGGTGCACTGCATCTTGTACTTAACATCTTCTCTCTATGTTTTAAGTTTGAAGTCCTAATATCATAAGGTTTTCAAGCTATGGTCTAAACTCTATTTTGATGTGAAAGTTTGACCTTGACCTTATAAACATTGGATGAAAGTCAAAATTTTTTTATCACATACACCTTCTCTTATGTGTCCCCTGCATATTCCAAGTTTGAAGTCTAAATGTCAAAGGTATCTAAAGTTATGTTCAAATCATTTTTTTTCTCTATTTGACCTTGAAGAAAGAAAGGGGTCAAGGTCAAAGTTCTAGTGCATTACGTCTTGTACTTAATGTCTTCTTTCTATGTCACAAGTTTGAAGTCCTAATATCAAAGGTTACTCAAGCTATTTCCAAAACTCTATTTTAATGTAAAAGTTTGACCTTGACCTTATAAATAGTTCAAGGTCAAAAAATTTGGTGCCGTGCACTCCGCCTTTAGGTCATCTATTTATGTTCCAAGTATGAAGTCTTCAGGTCAAAGGGTATTCGAGTTACGGCCTGGACAAAATTTGGATGAAGAAGAATAAAAATAAGAAGAATAAGAAGAATAAGAAAATCGACAAAAACAATATGTCTCCCCTTCGGAAGGGGAGACATAATGAAGGATGCAACATTGCATCGTAAAATTATTATTACATGTATATTGCTGCTTGTTGAAACTCATGTAAGTGAAAAATATTTGAGTTTAGATGATGAGAAATCTGTCCTATATTCAAATGAAAACGTTTGAAACGGAACAAAATGAAGTACTCTTTCTGAATCTCCATTCCATTACTTTCAAAAGAAAAGATCTTTAAAAATTAAAAAATTCAAATCAAAGATTCGTTCAATTCAATGCACTTGAAAGTTGCTTGAAAAGATTATATAATGCATGTAATATTTTTTCTGAACTTTCACATCTTATATTGATAGTTTAAGAAGAAGATGAAGTGGTTCTAATTTTGTGAACCAATCCAATACATGTATCTATTTAGATTTCTAATTAGGATACATGTGTCATTAAATATACAGATCAATGACAATTTAGCATGTGTCTCTGATACGAGTGAGACCAAAGCACCGCTTCAAAGCAATAAAGAATATTTTAAAAGAAATGACAGAGTATTAATAAAGAGAAGGTCATTAACAAGAATAAACCCTAAACAAATAAGATGTTAACACCTATATCATGTTTTATTATGAAACAGAATTACTCAGTGAACCTGCTGTTCATTGATGGAAATGATAGAAATGTCGTCAATTCTTAAAATCATTCAATGCAATGCCATTTCTTTTCTAGAGTGATATGATGCTGCTTGCTTGGGGCATCGTATGGTTGACATTTACGGCCGATGTTGTTGAGGGGACTTGCTTCTTTCCTGAACACCTGAAAAACAGCGAGTGGCACTACAAAGTGTCATCGGGAAATGGTAAAAAGCAGACTTTTCGGTTTAGTGGTGAAGTTTTATCAGTGAAGGATGTACATGTACCGAGTGATTCCTACCAGCTGTATTGTGTTGAAAGGCGTGGGGAGCATGCCTTCTTGTTCGAGTCCCCTTCTGCATCGTCGAAAAAGTACAAATGTATTGAATTTTTGGAAAGAGGCCAGTCCATTTTGCAGATGAGAACGTCTTCCTATTCAGAGAGTCCTAACGTTTGTAATGACCGTAACTTGAATTTGGATGAATGGTTATTGGTCTCATACGAAGAGATGACCAAAGAGATCGGAAGATGTCCATTCAGCGGTGGCTTCAATTTAAAAATAAGAGATTCAAATGGAAATGCTCATGGTTGTAATCATATGGAACTTCCAATGAGATTAGAAAGCGAATGTATTGCAGGAGAAGGGATGACATTTGACTTCAGAAGAAGCGAATGCACGTACTTTGTTCCTATGAATATCTTCCAGAAAACGTTCTGTGTGACAAACTGGAACACGAGAAATTTCATATTAGTGATCATTAAAGCAGTCAATGGGAATGGAATATGGATTATGAGGGTACCTAAACGTGATTTAGGTTATTATAATAGTAGGATTGTTGTAGAATTGTTTACTGATTTGATTGCAAGTGAATCGAATTCAAACAGTGATATAGAAAAGTCTTACTCTCTTACATTAGAGAAGGAAGTGCAACGAAGTTTTTGTGCGGACGAATACGAGTCCTGTACGAAAAGACTGTGTTCCCCCGTAGATATTCGCCAGTGTCCCAAATCATGTGGAACGTGTGACCCTAACACTGTTCTGCCAATATGCTCTTTTCCTCGAAGATTTTTAGGAGAATGGTATTCTCAAGACATCATTGGGACAAAGAGAGTAAACATCAGCGATTCCACTCTTTCAATAGACAACGTTGGGCAGTTTTCTTGCGTACAATTCGACGACTCTCCATCTCGCTCTACCAGAAGGTTTACAACGGAATCTGTATACTATAATGGTTGCAGACCTCGATATACCTGTGTAGCATTTAAACGCCTGGGTAAATCCGTCCTGGGGTACAGTATAGGTCAGAGTTTTGTTTGGCCGATCACATTAGACAGTCCTGGAAGGACTATTTGTGATGATTCTCGTTTTCGTCCTGACGAAGACCCAATCAGTGATTTGTACCACTCATACGATAATTCATACAAACCAATATTGCCAATTTCAAGAACATTCATACCGACAAAGTGCGATTTGCCTTCATTATTTTCATTTACTGCCCATTTTGGTAACAACAGAACTTGTTTAGGTGAATTTTATGAAGACTGTGCTAACCCTAGTGTATTTCGTCTGGATTATCACAACTGCAGATATACGTCAGTGACGTCATATACATATTATTGCGCAGCAACATTTAGAGAAAATTATTGGGAGAAACTTGTGATTTTACAAAGTGCTACAGAAGCTAAAGATTCCAAGTGCTTATCTTTTTCTACAGTTTACCCAGATCGTGCTTTTTTTCTTCCAACGAGTCACTGTGACGTGTACGCATGGCAGTACGTTGATGCCAATATTCGCCAGTCACTCGTGGAATTCACAATACGTTCTACCGGTGAAAAATGTAAGTTTATACCCACAACAACGACGGTCACCGTGCCGACAACAACGTCCACTAGTGAGGGACTTCCGCTTCCGACTTCTAAACTTCCGGTTAGCCCTCAAACAGGAAAACAACAGAAATTAGACATGGCTGTAGATTCAGCTATTCAGAGTGATTCTTATGAAGCAAAAGACAATTACCAAGAAATAATAAAAACGACAATGTCAGCAACTCAGACTGCAAAATCCGCAGATAATAATCACCGTCTAAAAACTGTGGACGAGAGAATGCGCGAAACAAATCATTCTGTAAAATGTCGATCTTCATTTACGAATTTTATTTTAATTGGAACAGTATTCTTTAAATATATGTTTAGTCTATTGTATAATTTATAATTTTTGGATTGCGTTGCCAAATGCCAAATCTTGTGTTTTTCAGTTTGTTTTGTTTTTTAACGGAAATTTGTCGTTTTTTATGTATCAATGAATTTTATTATTAGATTATGTATTTTCAGTTTGGAAAGTTCAAGAAGGTATGACCAGACTCGATTTTTCACTCTTGCGTAGATCTCTTTGAATCTTATAAAGCGCGTTGGCAATTCGTATTAATTTTTCTATGTAAAAGGTATCAGGTCATAACTTCATTGAATTTTTGATACTGAAATAATTGGTGTTAAGTTCTTAAACATGTATATACATTCCAATTACACGCAAGGTATTTGAGGTGTCATTCAGACATACAGAAAATGAAGATCCGTCTTGTTTATCATTGTTTATTATTTTTATTTAATTAAATTGTGAACAAATATAACAATTTCTTTCAAAGAAGTCTTGCATCTCATGACATTGTAAATATAAAACTGTACAGATAAATAACACAGTACAAAAATGTTCCATTAATCATTTGCAGGACGAGGCAAGGTCTTTTTTGTTTAAAGTTATATCAATATTTTGAATATAACTTTTGTTGAAAATCTTTTTTTTTTTAATTTCTAATTCAGACCAACTGTACACGAAGAAAAACAAAACGTTGATCTTGTCTTTTTGTATAAAGTATAATATCTTTTTTTAAATGATATTGATAGTAGCATTTCTCTACCATGAATCATTTATACTATGTATCTGAAAAAAGCAATTTATAGGTATATCAATGAACATTGATTTTTTTAGTCTCGATGTTTGTGGAAATTAAATTTTTCAAAGTCCCTATGCTGGTAATTAGCTAGATCATGTTTCTTGTCGTAATCTCATTAAGGCCTACACAAAAAAGATTATCAGAAAGTGAGATAAATTCAACTTGGAACACAGCTGCAGAAACGTGTTTATAATCTTAACTGATCCTTGTACAAACAAAATTCAATTAACCTTATATAAAGCATAATGGTTTTACAAAAAATGCATTCTTTCTCATTTATCGTGTTGTTCTATGTGAAAATACCAAAAAGACTGAAATTAATTTCGGTCCAACGTCAATAGCTTAACTTCCGCTTCTCACACAAAACACATATACGAGTAGGACAATGACAAATTATACAGATCCGTTATATAATTATCAGGAATGATTTCCTCATTGTGCTACAAAAAGAAACATTAAGGAATTTCAAAGTACAATTAAGAATTCTGTCGAATAAACACAGTGAACATTAACATGATTAAAGAATAGAATTAGTATTATAGATATGGTACAATTCTCAGTTAACCTTGGACTTTCTGGAGGGCATGTCTTTCTCGACACTACCTAATAAGCGTTTCTCAAATTGCGAATAGATTCTCATTGGTTTAGAAATTAATAACATCAGCAACTTTAAATTGTTGTTGAAAACGATGAGACGTCTTAAGCCCAACCCCTTTACCGTAGAAACACTATCATTGATTCATTTCTACACTCTTTGACATTCGCCGGTATGTATATTTCAACCATGAGTGAAAGGCTGTGCAAATTTCAGACGCTAATTAAGTAACGTCGAGAATAAATACGTCTTACTGAAAGTCCAAGGTTGACTGAGAGTTGTACTAATTCTTCCCTGAGATCAAAATTTTGTGATGTATATTCTTTTATTTATATACATAACAAGATTTTGAACATACATAACAAGATTTTGAATATACATCACACGATTTTGAACATACATAACAAGATTTTGAATATACATCACAAGATTTTGACTATAAATCACAAGATTTTGAACATACATAAAAAGATTTTGAATATACATCACAAGATTTTGAATATAAATCACAAGATTATCGAATAAAGCAACGTTTTACACGCCATAAGTATATTTTTCAAATAATTATCAAAAGCAATGTTTAGTTGAAAAAGCAATGTGGAAATCGACCATCGATACATTGCGTTTAAAAGGAAAACAACAATAAGTAATACCGGGTATTTAAATTTTAATGAACATAAAGAATTTTTTGTCAATTACTGAAATGACCAACTACAAACCTTTATAACTCCCTTGCATATGTTTGAAAAACTATTTATTCAATTCTGAGAGTTGTCTGTATAATTCATCAACCAGAACAAGTTTATGGATTGTTGGGTTAGTCTTACCTCTGTACTTGTCAATTTCTTTCTTGAGCATGTCCCACGGATGCTCTTTATAGATTAAAGTCAGCTGATTTTTCTGGCCAACCAATCCTTCCGATTGTTTCTTCTTCGACATACTGATGGGCCACTCTCGAATGGTGCTGTCTGGTTTGATACAACACCAGTTGTACAGGATGTAGGTGAAGAACAGAGGTCGATCTAAAGAAATCTATAAACAAAACAAATATGTTAAGAGGGTATACGACACAGACCCCTGGAAATTCATAGGGCGGGATCAAGTGCCTGTAACATCAACTTATTAGTGATTAGCAGGCCTTGCTTTAAAAATCGATTGTTTCTCAAAGCAATTAAATATAATCCTTTTTCCCCCGCTTTCGCGAAAGCGAGGGAACATTAAATCTCATTCGTCCGTCCGTGTTTACGAGAGTGCATTTATTGGGTATTTTTCATGCCAAGATTGTACTTATTGGGTACTTTTTGCTTATTGGGTATACCCAATAAGAAGTGTCACTTATGCTTAAAACACCCTAATTGGGTATTTGCAGGTTAGTACCCAACAAAACTTGGACACGACGATTTGTCCAAAAAATTCCAAAAAAGTTGCTTTCACGGACGCATGTTTTGTGTTTCAGAAACATTCGGAACTCTAAATTTTCGAGAGTTCCGAAAATCAACTTCCGTTGATCCTGATCATAACAACGTTTGTTTTCATGGAAAAAAATATGGCGACTAAGAAACACTTAATGTCAACAAGATTGTCTGATTGACAAAAGAAAAGGTAAGTTTATTCGATTAATATTTATCTATTGCTGGGTTCTTGTTTAAGGAAATGTGTGTCCGTCCGTCTGTACGTCCGTCTGTCTGTCCGTCAGTCTGTCCGTCCGTCACAAAAACTTTAACCTTGCCCATAACTTTTGACTCAGTAAAGCTATGACTTTCATATTTGATATGTGTATTCCTTGTGACAAGACCTTTTTTTTGGTACCACGAAATTTGACCTTGGAGTTTGACCCACTTTTACACAAAAATTCCAAACTTTTACTTTGGCCATAACTTTTGAATGGTAGGTACTAGGACTTTCATATTTCACATATATATTCTTTGTAGCAAGTCCTTTTATTGGATGCAACAACTTTGACCTTATGACATTGACCTTGGAGATTTCCGTACTTATGAAATAAACTTTAACCTTGACCATAACTTTTGAATGGTAAAACTAGTTTCATAATATATATATATATATTATTTTGTGAGAAGACCTTTCAAAATACCAAGAACTTTGCCCCTTGGACCTTGACCTTGGAGTTTGACCTACTTTTCAAAAACTTTGACCTTGGCCACAACTTTTGAACAGTAGATATCAGGACTTCCATATTTCACATATGTATTTTTTGTGGCAAAACCTTTCATTTGATACCAGCAACCTTGACCTTGGAGACTTTTTATACTTATGAGAAAACTGTAACCTTGACCATAACTTTCGAATGGTAAGGGCTAGGGCTTTCATACTTCACATAGTAATCCTTTTGAGAAGACTTTTCATTGGATACCATAAACGTTAACCCTTTGACCTTGACCTTGGAATTCAGTGATAATTTTTTAATAGATGACTTATGATAAGGCGTTCATATTAGACACAAAATGTCATTTAAAAAAATGACATCTCACCCAAAAAGACATCGAAAGCGGGGGACCACAATTCTTTGAATTTGCTTGTTTATTCTTAAAGCTGGCCGACGGGCTGTTTTACAACGACTAGACAAAAATAACACTTTTGTGGTTCAGATTCACTTCAAATTAATATTCATGTCCGTTTTCATTATTCTGTAGAAAATTATAAAGTATTGGGGGTTTTTAATGAAAATTTAATGACAGTCAAGATGAAAATTTTTATTAGGTTTAATTAAATTCCCTTTTTAAGCGCTAAGCGCTTTCTGTCAGCGTAAATCTACTTCCGTTCGCGATCCAGCGCCTCTATAAGCAAGTTAGATAACTCCTCTTGTTATTCTAAAAATACGCAACTGGAAATCCCTGACTCTCTTCCTGCTATTTTAGTGTACTGCTGCGTCACGTGCATTTCTAGTAATAGGAAGCAATTAGTGAGGTAGAGAAATATTCCACAGCTAGTAGATAAAAGCAGTTCTTACCATGCTCTTCACTTTACATTGTAGTTCATTTAAATCATGTAGGCACACATTACTTTTGTTTCATGTAGCTAATAATTGCTGCATCTATTGCACAAATACTTAATTAAAAGTAGTATATTATTTATCATGTACATGTAATATAGTGATTGAATAAATACATAATTTAAAAATCAGATAGGATTTTGATAATTAAATAAATCTCAAACTGGAAGTGAGTTACTAGTATTCTGTATTAAAAAAAATAAAATTGATTAATAATGCACTACTTACATAATATGGTGTGTTCTTTATAACATATCCATAAAACTATTATTTTTTTCTTCTAGACCCTTACTTCAGGAAGTGTAACTAAAACAAGCCTTCCTCTTAACACCTTGCACCATACCGAGAGCTATCAGTGAAGATGATTATCGCATTTAAGTATCAATTAGTAACAGACTGCAATGCATTCATGAACTGTCTTTTTTAATGTCTTTACTTGTGTTGTACTCTATAATTGTATCATATGGGTCAACATTATGCAAATAATTCGAAAGGAAAGGCAGTTTCTGTGGCTGTACAGGCATGTAGGGCATGTGGTGGTTGTGTTTTCAAGGAATCCATTCAAATAGTATAACTTATTTCTCGGTATAGTGTGCTTTAAAATTGTGTGTAGTGTGCAGGATCTGGCGAAAAATGCTAAAACCCTTTACATGTAATTAACGTTCTTAGCAATGGGCAGGAATAGGGCTAATGTAATGTTAAGCAAACAGTTTGATACATGAAGCAGAAAACTATAAGGAAGAAATAGTTTATGTAAAAATATGCCTCAGCTGTGTTGCTAATTCAATGAAAACTAAATAAAAACAGAATAAAACAACGTTGTATATCTTCATGAAGATTTATTAATACTTGAGATTAATACTTGCATATATTTTCTTTCTTGGTCTCTTGAATTAGTTATCATTGAAATAGCAGAAAATTATGAGCAATTATTTTCAGTATTCCTTTTCAACTAGCACGACAATGTCGTAGATATGTTTCTCCTCTCAGCATGTTTTGCATGGTAGTGAAGATCATACATACACTAGTAAAGAATGGTGTAAAGCACCAAGCGTCCGTAAAAAATATTGGAGCATTTTAAATCATTTTGACAATAGTCAAAAAATGCTTTTAAGGGTTAAATGAATTTTTTTATTCCAAAGAAGAAGTGTAAAAAAAAAAATATTGTAAAAAAGTAATATTTACAAATGAGTAAAACATCGTGATATCAACACAAATTTTACTGCAAATACGCCATAAATCATGTATTTGAAAATCAGAAATTAAAGGATAGCATCGAAAGATAAATTTTTATACTCAAATGTCTATTTACCTATTAAATGTGTCTGACAAAAAGGGCGTTAATTCTACGGATGTTCATTTCATCTACATAGAGCTTTGTTACATGACGATGTTACAAATATGATGCCAATCTTCAGTTTGAAACACTCGTAAACGCGGAATGAATGTGTTATTGAAAATGATCACCAGAAGATTTTAGAAGGTGTTGCACACAAATGATACGAATTTTAGCGACATTTAAAGTGTTTAAATTTATTTCAAAATACCTCTAATACAAGGTGATGGGGAAAGAAAATATTTTTACACGCAGAAATATTTTCTTGTAATTTCATGTATGTGATATTGATTGATTTTTTGACAGAGGAAGAAAATGTAAAATGCTTTTAAAAAAGTCATTAGACAATGTTGAATTTCATAATCAAACGGGAAGTTTTCAGAACTCACTAGTATTTGATTATGTACCAAACAACTGTGTTCGCCCTAGCGCTGTCGCACTGTCAACCTATTGCTTTCAATCAATACAACAGGAAATTTAAATTCAAAATAATTCTGGAGAATTTCAAATCAATATACTTAGCGCTTCCCAGTACTTTCAGTACTTTGATTATTACTCACGCCACAATAATGTTCAGATCGCCAGGTACTATTTTTATTACATTTGCCGGTGTATCCTATTTTCAGTTTTCATGTAAAGTGCATGAAGGTACTAAAATATCATAACAAAAAGTGGTGTGTGGTACTTAATCCATTTTTCCTCCTATTATTTTTCAAACGTTGGCCCCTATCATTCGGTCCCATTTTGACCAAAGGTAATATTATGATTTTAACAAACCTGATACTATACTATTTTAAAATGAATATGAAAAAAAACCACGAAAAGCTCCTATAGAAATTGAGTACATTCATATTTCTAAACATGCCTTATCTTTTGTATTTTAGTCAAATTTCCTCCAGTTTTTTTTAAATATGAAGGTGAAAAGAGACATGTACTTAGCAGCAACATTCGATCATAAGCATTGTCAGTAAGGATTAATATTTTTCCACCGTTGATATCAATTTTTTTTTAAAATCGCATATACTTTTTAAAATATCTGTGCTTTTTCTTTCGATAAAAATACCGATAATAGTTAACCTATAAACGATTCATCTTCGTTCCCTAGCAAAGTAGGGTGAACACAGACTTAAGATAAAACCCATTTACAAATGAAACAAAACTTCCGTCTGTAGGAAATCATGTACATTGCGTCTCAAGTAATGAGAGAGAGGAATACTGAATTAGACACAAATGATAAGGATAATATTTTCCCGAATCCTTTTATTTGGTAATGTCACCGTACGAAGGAAATTTATTTCGGATGTTAACAATCTTTCAGTGCCATCGTCGGGTGATGCAGAATTTTCATCATGATGCACATGAAATAAATGTTAATAGAAGACTGAAAAACAGTGTTAATTGCTCTCCAAATGTGACAAATGATAACATTATTTATAAAACGAATCTACAGGATCCCAAAGACGTTTTGGATGTAAAGATGATAGATTATACTCTTTGGATCACCCTAGTGCTAATAAATGAATATATATTATATATATACTCAGTTCTTCATAATAGCATTGGATATCAGAATATATACTAAAACTTGTGTATTTTTCCGTGTTTGTTCTCCTAAAATTCTATCATTTATTTTCAAATTTAAATTGCACACTTTTCTTAGTTCCTTCCTGTTCAATGGTTTATTTATCATCAGTGTAATTCAAGTTCGTCTGGTACAGCATTCAATTTAATGTGCATGGAATTTTGAAATGAAAACAGTCTTATTCTTTCTGTTTGCTTTAATTGGTAAGTTTATGATTTTTCATGATTTTTTTTTATTTAAAAAGGAGACTGCAGATTGAATTATTCACAGCAAAGCATTTATTTAAACAAGCAATTTTTTAATTAGGTTTTCAGAATAATGGCATCCACTCTTACACTCAGCATTTTATCTCGGACAATGTAATGTCATGGTATACGGCGGACAAGGCCTGTCCTAGTTTGTTTAATCCTGGTAACGGCACCATTCACATGGCGGTGAATTTATCGGCTAATCCTCAACAAATACAGGTGTTGAGATCCCTCAACAATCACGAAAGTTTCTGGTTGGATGGGTTTCGATTTCATCTTGGTTGCAATGGTATATTATTTGTCCTTTTTTGATTAATTGATTGTACGTTGTTTAATGTCCACATTGGGAACAGAGCAAACAGGGACATCTTAAGTGTCACAGGTAGGATCAGGGGTATGCATTCCCTGCCCATCTGTCACACCTACCATGTGCTCTTGTTACGATCTGCCAAACGAAAAAAAAAGCAGACAAACCAGTGTGTTGTTGGTATGAAAGAGGTCATCCAACATTGAACTGTATGTAATATTGTACTTGCACCCTGACAAAATTATTGTATTGACCATACGTGTAGAACTTGCGAAATGATGACTTTAAATGAGCCTGTTGATACCTGCTTCATCAACTTGTTTGTCAATAGCTTGTTTCGTTTCTGGAATTGTCTGTACATAGAGCATGTTCTTGCGTATAGAATCAACAGGGAGAAAAAACCCTATATGTACACAGGAGAAGAGGGTAAATCGCTGCGCAAGTAAAGGAAGAATGAATATAGAAGAATTGAAGTTATCGCGTTTATTTTGAAGTCTTGAAGTTAGATTACTTGTACCATTAACGACTTTTTTCTTGTAAAATATCCAAATACGGAACAGAAGATTCAGGCTTTATGTAATTTTTTTTCTTTCAAGTTGATCACTGGGATATATATCGAGTCTGCATATGGATTTGATATTATATAAATATAACCCTTTGATGAGGTCGATCCATAGATATACATGTATCGACTTCACAGAAAAGCATACCGACCGAGCACGAAGTCGATGCTTTTCTGTGAAGTCGATATATATATGGATTGACCGAATTGAAGGGCTACATTTGTTATATTATTTTTTACATAGATTGACAAAACAAAATTTGAAAATAATAGGAACAAGGCACAAGTCTTCTCCCTTTTACGCTGAGAGACGAGATCAAAATAAATTAAGCTATTTAATGTTCATGTGTTTCCTTTATATTGATGGAGTAATTTAGAGGATTTACTTATTCAAAATATTTTATTTATTTGATTACGTTTTGTATAAATTTTTGACAAAGTTATCCAATATGTTTTAATATAAAGTAGATCCTAATTCAAGGTTTCAAGGCATTGTTACGTCTCATCAATTAAAGAACATGAAAAAATAGTAATAGAAGTTGTAGTAAATTTTTTTTTTTTTCAGATCAGTACTACTTTTTTGTTTTACCAAAAAACAAATTATCTACATTTTAAGAAACATCGAGTCGATATGCATTATTTTCAGATTCTAAAAATAGTACTAGTAACTCAAGTCTTTATGCTGTTATATACTAAATCATGTGATCAAATTTGAGCCTATCAAAGAGCTTGGAATAAATGATAAAAATAATATATAAAAATGTACACGTATTCTTTGATGTTTATTTGTATGGTGTTTAACCCCCTCTCGAGAATTTTTCACTCATACGGAGATGCAACTTTTTACCGGTAGAGAGCTACAAATTTTGTCCTATACTCGGCAATTGGGTGTGAAGTATCTTTTTCGTGCCAGCACCTTGATCTGCTAAACGGGACCTCGGTTTATATGATCTCATCCGAAGGACCGGTCTCAATATCCCACAATGGTATTTAAACCCGCAACGCAAGGATCAACTCTTCGCGACTCTAGAACAGACGCTCTAACCAATGCGCCACGATGGCGACTGCTCTCTTATGCAAAAAAGTTCCTGAACAGATTTTTACATGTACATGTATGTATACTGTAGTATATACATAAGTATATATATCAGCGAAGGAGAGTGTTTTTCTTGCATAATCGCTTCAAAATATTATAGAGTGGTTTTGGAAATGCCGTACGTTCTCGTATATCACTTGTCAAAAGGGCACACACTTAGAGAATTGGGACGTTATAACATCATATTACTTAAAAATATCCAGTATTTATACATTTTCAATTTCAAATGCAGAGAGCAATAGTCCGAAAATAGCACTCTTTAATTTTTGTGAAAGATATGATTCTAAGATAATCTCATTAAAGCTGAACACGACTCGGCATACTGCATTTTCGATATTACTACATGTATGTACGATATTAGCATCAGAGTATACTCTTCGCATTCGTAACACCTGACAGCTCTATTGTCACGGGTATCGGTGTGGAATGGTGATCCGTGTTCGTGATGATTATTTTGCATTGGTTTTCTTTACGTTTTGTTGCAGCTACCTGTATTTGTGTTTGTTTGTATACAGCATTCACCTGTGCAACTATTGTAAGTTTCTTTGGTATCTTACATTCTTACTTCCCTGCATTAAAAGAATACAGTTATTTTTATCGCTACCGGATGATATTCAGCATATGCCTATCTACATGACGACTGATTACAATGAACAGAAACCAAGTGATCGGCTCCATATATAGGGGTCCTCAGATATAGCGACGGTCCGATCGAATATGGCGGACACATTCCTTTTACGAATCGTGTTCAGCTTTAATCTCTACATAAATATACAGAGTGGTGACTGAAATAAAGCTTTATTCGTCGTACAATATGTTTATTATACCCCCCTCCGCTTGAAATTCGAGAGGGTATATAGTAATCGGTATGTCCGTCCGTCCATCTGTCTGTTTGGGGTACATTGTACACATTTCTTATCCGCAACTCCTCTGATACCACTGAATGAAATTTGATGAAACTTTCAAAGAATCTTTATTACATAATGCCATTGTGTACCTTCTATTTTACTTTTTGATCCGACACATATTTTGGGTTTCCCACAGCAAAGCATCAGGACACTACCATTATTATCATATGGGAGGCGGGGGTATCATTTAGTGAGCTCATTGTTCACAGTACCTCTAGTTTTATCGAAATGAAGCATTGATGTTATTAAGTTTCTCTAATTCAGTGTTTAGAGGTCAAGTCTAAAACTTGTCTGCAAAGATGCATGAGTGACGTTTCGGTTTATATTTTAGCCATTTCTTGTGAATACTTGACGGTGCAACATCTCATCACATCTGAAAAATTAAAATCTATATGCATAAAAGGTAAGTTACATGTAATATTAATATTTACTTGTATACTTCATGCTTCTTAATAAACAAATCTTTCCTATCCTAAATTCGCCCAATCAGAATTGTAGTTAAAGATTTAAAGATACCTTGAGTCATTAATTCGTTTTGTTTTAAATTCGCATATTTGCGACGATTGAGGCATGAAGGGGGGGGGGGTTTAAATCTAGGGGCATTTAAACTTCCCTGTATACATGTACAGTATTCCGTGGTTCGTCCCTTTTTGTCTCATGTGATTCCTCGAGTGATCATATAAAAGTTTCAAAAATTCATGTTTTTAAGATGGAAATCGAACAGTACAGTTGGACTGTAACGAAAGGGATATCTACAATTTAACCAGCGTTCATGACCAATCAATGCTTCACAATCTACCGGAATATAAGAGCGGCGAGGAGCTGAAAATAAACCTAGCAGACATAGACGGTATACAGTTTCTATAGGCTGACTATAAAATTAATCATCTTTTTTAAAAAAAATCCTTCTATCACAAGAAACCGTGAAGCAAACTATATTGTCTCAAGGTAAAAATTGTCTGAAATTTAATTCGATAAACCAAAATAAATATCTTATTCTTTCATAAAGATTATGTGCTAGAGACATGGAAATATACATCGATGATAAAAACGATTTTTCCAGAGTATTATTAATTATTTTGAGTCATTCATACTGGCTACAGTCTGAGTTTTTGTAGGCATACTCAAACAGTGTCGACTGGCTACAAGAACTTCAACTGGATTCAAAATAAGTTATCAGAATTGTGATGACAAACACAAAGTACTTTGTCAAAAACGTAAGTCAATTTCGAAAGAAATATACATGTAATATATATACTATACATGTAAATGTATATATATGCTCATATCTAAAACATACCAAATGAAATAAGGTGAAATGATGTATACGTATTGCTTTGCAAGAACAAACAAAGGAAGATAATTCAAGTAAAATAGTTTATATTATGGATCTTAATGCATGTACTAGACTATAACATACTCTGAGGAAATTCAACTCACCAATCGAAGTCCACACAAGTACAGAACTTTTCTGATCAAATTTGATGTGTGTAGTATGTCGTTGTCATTGGTAACTTTTCTCTGGAATCCTTGAGCCAATATCCGCATGGAGTGTATAGACCTCATGACTCTCGAGGGAAGTGTCGAGCTACAATGAGTAATCAAAAAGTCTTGTCAAATCTTGTCAAGAACAAGAAAGCCTTCATCACTCAAATTCATAACATGGAAGAATATCATCAGATAAAGCAGATTCAAGTTTGCTCAATCATGACCCCTGGAGGTTTGTCATGTAGGGCTACAAAGGGTGATCGTTTGACAAGGGAATATATGGGAAAAAGAATGTATTACATGTATGCTGAAGAGGAACATATACACACGTGAGCGTTGTGGAGCATGAGCCTCTTCGTCTTGTTTCTCAAAACTTTGCTTATTTATTTTAAAAGATTCCAATTCCACTCCCATTGTTACAACCCTTGTCTACAAGCTGACTGGTGTGGGCGAGGACTCGCAAGTGATCTACATGTATATGTCTACCAGAAATTCAAACCAGGCCGAACTCAAAAGTCCCAGTATGTATGTCTATAAGGCAGTTGCAATTGAGAATAACTTTTGTGGCACACTTATTTATTAAAAATTATTTTATATACGTATATGTATAATTTTCCATGAAAAATTTTAATAGATTTTCTGGATGCCAAATGGCTCATTACCACATGTTTGTCAGCATTGTCATGTTTGTTCAGCGTCTTCATCTGCATATATCTGTGTTCCAGGTAATTATCTTTTTATAATGTTTTTGTGCCCCCGTAATCAAAGATTCGGGGGTATATATAGTTTTTCCCCTGACAGTCCGTCTGTCTGTCTTCTGCATTTTTGTCCGCAAAAACTTTAACCTCGTACATAACTTTTTAATGCATACAGATGGGATAATGGCTTTTATATTTCATAAGTATATTTCTTGTGACAAGTCCTTTCTTTGGATACCACAAATTTTAACTTCTTGACCTTGGAGTTTGACCTGCTTTTACAAAACGTCACCACACTTTAACCTTGACCGTAACTTTTGAATATTTGGTATTAGGGCATTCACACTTCACTTGTGTATTCCTTTCAGTATTTTTTTACCTTTTGACCTAAGAGTTCGACTCACTTTTTAAAAAACCTTTAATCTTCATCATAACTTTTGAACAGTTAGCACTAGACCTTTTATACTTCACAGTTGTATTCCTTTTGAAAAAGACCTTCCTTTTGATGAAATACATGGAAATGACGTACAATATTCAGGATCAAAATCCATTAAACAATACAAATTAAGAGCAGAGCAAATACAAGCCTCCAAAACATCAGAGGTGGGATCAGGTGCCATTGAGAAGTAAGCATCCCCTGCCAACACGTCAAACCCGCCGTGTGCGTTCTCCTTGTCATGATCGAAAAATAACGGGAAAATCCGTCGACAATTCCGTGTGTAAATAATGGCCTAGCAATATGAAAAACGTCAGTCAGCATTTGACTTCATGATAGATTGTATTTCCTGACAAAATCATTGTATTGACGGTAGAGCTTACAGAAGGATGACTTTAAACGAGATTGCTGATATTCTTGTTTCATCAACTTGTTTGTCAATAACGTATCTCGTTTTAGAAATTGTTCATACGTAGAGCATGACATATACCGTATCAAATCAACTGAGATAAAAATTAATTCTCATATGCAAATGATGAAAGTATGTTGCTGCATAACTAAGGGAAACTGACGATTTTTTAAATTTAATAAAGTTAATTAAAAGTCATCATGATCACGTTTAAAGCTTTGCTGTTAGCTTACCATTAACGTCTATTTCAAGTGAAATATCGAAATATGAAACAGATGTTTCAGACTCTGTGGTATTTTTTATTTCAAGGTCACTGGGATATATCGTATCGACATAAGAATGAACATACGAATAATTTTTACCTTGACCTTTGAAGTTTGACTTGCATTTGAGAAACTTAAATTCAACCTTGGCCATAAGCTGCCATACGGGAGCATCAGTGTTTTAAAATCACATCTTGTTTTCTCTATTTATTTCATTTAGATAATTTTGATTAAAAATAGTCAGTATTACATTGTATCTACAGAATTCAATCGTCTTTACTCCTCAGGAAACGCCAGCCAAACACGCGTCAATCCAGCATCCGCTCTGGTCACCAGAGACTGCGTAATTTTCATGAAAGTTTCATCCTACCAAATTCTGAAGACCGAAGGCAGGAGTCAATAGACGATGCGTATCGAACATAACATTTTAATAAAAGCTTTTCATTTGAACATTGTAAATACCTATTTGTGTATTGTACTATACCTTTGCAAATACTTCTATTAGATTATTTGTACTGTAGAATATACAAGTATGTTGAAAAATACATGTACCATAATTGTAAAATTTCTCTTTTATACCTGTATGATATTTCTGTAATAAATACCGGCCTTTCATCATATGGGATAACTCCATACCGTAGCATCAAAAATAAAGATTTACTCTAACAAATATGGTATAGATCTGACCCGCAAAGAGTGATGCACTTCCTGGAGGAAATTAACAGATGAAGACAACATAGTATAAATTAATTATAAAGTCATTCTTTAAGTCCAATGCCTCGTGCTTTCCCGCGGTTTCCTACGACGCTACAGGGCTCCCCCTAAATTATTCATCCGGTTCATTGGTAATCGATATTGAATTTCTAAATGAACCCTAAACAGCCAACATGGAGAGGCCTTCGGTCCCGCACTTTTTCTTTTAATCACCCGTGCAAAAAAGAAATTAACTTGAATAACAATTTCCAGACGGTCATTTTTGGAAAGACTGACTGCTTAAAAAAATATGCATGTTTCTCCCCCATCTCTTCGATCTATGTTTTGCATGGTTCCGTTTACTCTTTTATTGATGCATGTTAGAACAACGTGATAAATGATACTGTACATAATTATACATGTATTATTGAATTAAGCTATCTCTTCTCTATCGGGAAGATATCTTTTGAAATGCTCAGAATTACAAACCTCAAAACAATTCTTATTTTTATACTCATAAAACTATGCATGTTTAGTTGCAGACCAGTTGGAATCAATTTCAGTATGCAAAGGTAAAGGGTGTGTTCCCTGAACGTCTACTCCCTATATAAACAGTATAATTATCACACTAGTAGTAGTAGACGTTCGGTGAATAAACCAGCCTGAGGTAAAGCTAAACATTTCGGCTTCTCCACAAAAAAAATTCTTGGGTAAAATTCAAAATTTAAAGCTATTATTGAGGGAGTAGAAGCATAAAACAGCAATTGTTCCTATAGTATACTAGTTGCATGTACATGTATTTATATCAGCAAAATTGTCGGGGGCGAACATAGGTCATCATGTCCGATTCTTTTATCTGTTAAAAGTGTATGAATTGGTAACTCTATAAAATTTCTCCCAAGAAAAGGACAATCATGTCAAACATTGGACAATTTAAAAAGAAACTTATTTCTTCAAAAGCGTCTTGTGGGCTGCATCAGGTTTTGGAGGAAGTGTGCTGGGAGAGTCTGGTTGGATTGTCCTTTTTCTGAACAGGTTTTTTTTTTCAAGTGGTTACCATTTCTGGCATTGCGCTATGTTTCAGGATATGGTACTTTTTAAATGTGCTTGATGAAATTTTAATACCATGCAAAACAGAAGCGACATACTTTTCATGGGATTGAATGCTGCATTAATTTTAGCTGCAGAACTGTAGCGTTATGGCTTTATATATTAGTCTTTGACCATAACGCTGAAGATCCTGTGATGCAAAAAATGTTCAATCAATTTACGGCACAAGATTTTTTGCACACACTGTTTGGGAGAATTTATCCACTCTCAAACTTTGGTTAATCGTCTACCTTTCCCTCCATAATTCTAGACATATTTTTTAATAAATCTGTATATTTTATTCACCTCCAAACCCTTTATAGTTTATACAAGCGATAAACTCGCATTAATTAGAGATTTTTTGCAATCCCTCAGACATATCAAATCAAGCCAGTTCATCGCCTGTATAGGAGTCTGTAAAGGGTAGGAAGGAATATAATGTATACAGATTGGTTTAAGAATGTGTATGGAAATTTTGAAGAGAGGGGGGGGGGGAGATGATTTACCAAGGTATGCTCTTTGCAGGGGTATGCTCCGCTTCACGATGCCCTTGTTTTGAGATGTTCTGATGGTGGCTTCAGTGCTGATTAATGAAGTATTTATACATGTTTGACATACATAAGACACATCATATGGGCATATATAGAGCTACAATTTGAAACAAGGACACTGCAGAATGGAGCATCCCCCTGCAAAGAATATATCCATAAATCAAAGCAGCATTCGATCCCGATGAAAATTATGTCACTTCTGTTTCGCACAGGATTAATTCTCTCACCAACACGCACAAACACGATTGAGTTATGGATCTGCATGACTACTATTTCTCATCTAAAAATGTACACTGTACTCCTCATAGGTTATCATCATAAATTGATTAAATAAACTTGGTAACTTAGTACATAAAGAGTAAACAAACCAACAATACAGGTTAAAATAAAAAATATTGCCTTTTTATTTCTTTTTAACATTGCTTCCTTTGTCTGAGCTGCTGGCAGAAGATGTGCTCGGTTTGACGAGTTTGAACTGTTTGGGTTCTACTGACTGTGCTTTCATTGCTGCCTCATGTTCCATGCTGGTCTTGATATTTCTCTCCAACCCCTGCAATTTAATTGAACACAAAAATAAATCATTTAAAACCCCTAAAGCAACATTTTTTTCTGTATTTGGTGATAATCTGTGTTTCTGATTGTTTTGACATTAATCATCATACTAACAGTAATAGCTATACCAATATACATGTAACACAATACAATCTTATTAAGAAATTTCAAAAGATTCTGTACATTCAACAGGTAAAAAGTCTTATCTAAATTTTCACAAATCTGATTATTTATAAACTGTAGACATGAGAGAAATTAGCACTTTAGGAGGCAGATGTGAATCAGGTAGGGGGAAAATACAATAATATTATTTTTCTTATTTTAGGAGTATTATATATATATAAGCAGAAGAAATAATGTGATTTTTTTTATCTGCCTCATATCAGACGGTTACAGCAACTTGTGTCCATTTACAGCTATTGTTTAATCAATTACCTTTCACTTCCAAATTTAAGACATATTTACCGGTATATTAACCAACCTGTATATTTTATCTACCTCCAAACCCTTTAAAGTTGCCTCTATAGAGACCAATAAACTTGCTTGTGAAATTTTGTTAAATGGCAGAAAATTTAATACAAGCAATTTTATTGCTCTGTAGAGACGTGAACAATTTTAAAGGATTAGGATAAATATGCAGGTTGGTTAAAAAAATATGTCTAGAATTTGGGGGGTGAAATGTAGTTGATTGCATGACCATCACCGATGCTGGAGTGGAGAAATTCTCCCCAACTCTGTGCAGAAAATCTTGCACCGTAAATTGCACAATATTTGCATTACGGAATCTGTAGCATTATGATCAGAGACAAAATATATAAAACCACAACACTTCAGTTCTGCAGCTGGTTTATTGGAGTTACATGTACCATAACACATGTACCAGTCAAGCACATGCTTACTCTGTTAAATGTAGACTGTCTATTTGACAGATTATTATAGTTTTTGGAATACCTGTTCTACTAGTCCGAAATATATCAGAATCTAATTAAAATTAGATGTTAGATCCGCTCACATACTCGCTACACTAACATCTAACAACATCTGAAAGAGGGTCACCTCAGAAGTCAAATTCGGAACAGCTCTAGACTTATTCGCTTCAACAATATACTATGATTTTGCAGGTGACGATTTGATTCGTTGATAGAATTTGACCTCTGATGTGACCCTCTATGGGATGTTGTTAGATGTAAGTGTAGCGAGTACGAGAGCGGATCTAACATCTCATTTAATTAGATTGACGTTTTCCAGGCAATTTTTCGATTTTAATATTTCACATGCCAGAGAAACTGGCACACAAAATATCAAAATTGTAAAAATGCCTGGAAAACGTCCTGACAGATATGTCGAACTAGTGTTCCACGGGTATTTAAATCAACCATTTGACCGTTTTTTTTTTTTCCTTTCTTAAGAAATGACGTCATTATTTGACAACCAACATTATAAAGATAGCTCAAACAGTTAACTGTTCCATTTAAACGAAAGATTTAATCACTTCAATGCGCTTCATTGCATATGTAGGATTTTATGATTGTCCACTTCTTTCATGAGAGGGAAGTATTGCCCTTTTGAACATGACTAAAATAACTTAATATAGGATAATTCAAATTAGTTCAATACACAGAATGAAACTCACCTTCTTGATTTTATTTGCTTCAATCTGTTTTGTCTTTTTTGGAGCAATAACTCGAGCTGTCAAAAAAAGTAAAACATAAACAAATAAGCACATGGCAAAACAAAACAAAATAGGGTCGGGTTAGGAATGCGAAAAGATAAGAAATGCATTATTAAATTATTTCATATATTCGCGTTTATCAAGGTTTACTATATAAGTTTTGTCCATCAATGGGATCTTAACCTCCTCTTTTAGGTCCTGAGTTTTTATGTTTATGACTTTGTTTCCCCTTAACTCCTTTTGGAAGACTTCCTTTCGACTTAAATTTTCCCTGCGCCATGTTTATCGGAAGATTCTAAGTATTAAAGGGGTGTCTGCATTTATGAATTTTTTTCCATTTCATACTGAAAGAGCTTTGGGTATAATATTTGGAAGAAAATATTTGATGAAATATTCCTTTTTAAAACTTAATTGATAAAAATTTAACTCAATAGTGTTTGTTTATACTAAATTGATTTTGCAACTATAAAGCCTTAAACCCCTTCAGGAAAAAATGAATCGATCCAAAATTAGTAAAATTGGAATCAAGTGTTGTTGAATGAAGATGACAGCTAGATCATTAGATGCTGATGTAAGTATTTTTCAGTTTCAGTCTTTTTTCTGACAATCTTTACATGCTTTTCTCATAACATTTATTTTTAATCATACAAGGATAAAGTCATGGTATTTTTTCCTCGAAAGAAGCAATATCCAGGAATGTAAAACCCAAGGACACTCCCCTCAGTTGGTAAACAAAATAACATTGATAACCTACCAAACTTCACTGTTTCAAGTTCGGATCTAATATTAGTGCAAACATGAGAATCATATAAAAACATATTTGTTCATTCCAGTGTAGATCTAGCTGCAAATTTCTGAATCTTATCTATGCATTTCATTTATTTAATCAATTTTATCATCTATGTCGCACTGTTGTGTTATATTTATGGATCTTGTATCTGAGAACAATACCATGCTAATTTCAGACTAAGCTATACCTGAATAGATGATCAGGGAGTACATTACTCTCAAAATTACTGCAGCAGCACAATATATAGACCCTGAAGCCTTTAGTTTTACTAAGGAGGATCCTGAAAGTTAATTAATATTGAATAATATATATTTTTTTAAAAATCAGAAAAGGAGAATTAAAAATAAGAGAAATAGATTTCCATGTCTGCTATATGAAGATTATTTGTTAAGCATATGACACTTGAATTCCTGTTAAGTATGATGGAGTTAAAGTTGGATTTAAATTTTGATTGATTTTGTGTAATAATCATGATTGTCATATACTGATTCTTTTCTCTTCAAATTCTTTTCAGGCTGGAAAAAATGTCTCTAGATCTATAACTGCTCACGAAACATAGAGTAAGAAATGGCTGAGACCAAAGAAACTCTTGTTGTGAATGGATCAGGAGAACAAAAGTCTCCAGTGAGACGCATGCATTCAGCCTTCACCGTGAGTGTGACCAAGTCTGATGCTCCACATTTTGATCCTTACAAAACACTGGAAAGATCCCAGTCCGAAGCTGCTCTTCTGAAAAATCCACACAGTGCTGCAAAACCTGAGGATGGAGTGGCAGAAACATACTCGGAGCAAGAAATGGGAACTGATGGAATGGACTTTGGGGCCCATAATGTGTCTGAATGTTCAAAGGTTTACCTTGATTTGTCCACTGCTGAGGCCTATGAAAATATTAATGAGCAACTTCCCTATCCAACTTCACTGTTTCGGACTGGGTCAGGCAGATTATTAGAAACAATCCCACAGGATGAGGAACTGCAAACAGACGACGTTCGATTCAGCCTCATGGGAGAAAGATCCATTTCCACAGAGAGTAATTCCAGTGCTAGTAGCCTTGATGAAAGAGCATCCAAGTCCCACATGAAATCCCTAACTATAAAAGAGGAATCTTCCAGATACACAGTCTCCAGTTCATACTCCAAGGTTGGCAAGAGGTCTCCTGACTACACAACTAAAGCAAAAACTAACATGAAATCCACCTTCCAGGCTTTCTCCTTAAACATTAAGCAGAAAATTAAGCAACTTCAGATGGGATCTGTTCAAGAGCAGATTCAATCCATGAGAGAGATCAGTGTGATCATAGATCAAGCCTGGGCCATACCAAGTTTTGGCAGAGACTTGGCTTATGGATTGTGTGATATTCTGAGGAATGAAAAAGCACTTGATATCATTGTCAAGAATTGTGCCTCCCCCTCTAGTGATCTGATGAAAGCCTCAGCAAAGCTGCTTGATAAAATCCTGACCACTGGTAATAGGAAGAGAGTATCAGAAATAGGACTTGACATTGTGGTCAAAATGGCTGTTTCGTCTAAAGGGGAAACTGAAATGGCCCGTGTTGTCACTGGTATATTGGAGAGTCTCTTTAAGATATCAGAAGATGTTTGTGCTAAGCTGATATCCTTGGGAGGGTTAGACGTTATCGTGTTTTGGTGTAGAAGTAACGACCGTTCCACCCTCAGGCATTGTTCCATGGCGGTAGCCAACATGGCCTTGTATGGAGGAAGGGAAA